TGTCTGCCAACGCAGTTCCAGCGCCAATCCCCAGCCCCCCCAGCTCTCTGCTTGGACTTTTGAGATGCGTGCCAAGTCAAGTCAAATTGTTATTACATTTTGAAAAACAAAAAAAAAAAACAACGAAGAGGCAAAAATTAACAACAACCTGTCCAACTTGTTGTTAGTCTGCGGTCAAACAAGTGCACTTTAGAAATTGTTCATAAATCATAAACACCGATGGGAGACCGAGTAACGAGCCAGTTTGAAATATACAAAAAAATGTAAAACGTTCAAGAAGTGCTAAGTGCATACCGCCAACTCATTAACAATATTTTTATTGTTTACAATCATTTACGCAGGCCATGTTTACGCCACAGAATTCACCGTGTGGCTTTTGATCTGTCCGATTTTGTATTATTCCATTTTATAATTTTGTTTTTTTTTTTTGGCATCAGTTCAAGGGCAAAGGCAAATTTATGTGACAAGCGAAAGGCTTCTAGTTTTAAGTTAAATTTTTTGCGAGGGCTCAAGAACACATCTATGGCGATTAAATGGACATGGATATTAATTAATCCACCAAGACTCGTGCCAAGCGGAGACCACATTGAGACACAATCTAGCATCAGTTTAGCGGCTCTGCCTGAAAACTGAGAAAACAAAAAAGCAGCCAACAATCATGTGGACGTGGATGTGGATGTGGATGAGATGATGATACCAGTTTGCCTCAACCTTGAGCCGAGCGACAACAACATTTGCGTACCCAGTACGAGAGATACGAGGTACCAGATCCGAGTAACCAGTACCATGAAGAGCACTTCTTGAGTCTCGGCGACTTTGTTGCTCTTCGCTACTGTTGTTGCTTTTATTTTTATTATTATTTTTGTTTTTGGCCGGCGATAACGCGGATGCGAAAAAGTGAATGTATTGCCACTTGATGACGTTGTGAATCTGCCGAAGAAGATATTCGGCGGGTCTGGTACGTGACAGAACCATTAAGCCGCATGTGACTGGTTCCGCTGCGAACCCAAAAAGCCAGCCAGCAAGCCAGCCAGTCATAATCAGAAGTCAAATAGCTCATCAAGTGGATGGTATAATACGGAAAATGTATCAATAAATATTTAAATAGCACTTGAAACATTTTTAAGATGATACATTGCCTGAAGATTACTAATATGTGAGGAAATATGAATCATTCATGAGAATTTATAATATTTGTTAAAAAACTTAAAATTCTTTACCAATTCCCATAATTAATCACAGCTGGGGGCTAATTAAAAAAATACACACACATTAATTTGAAACAAAAACAAATCCCGAATTCTTCGAAAAAAATATATGCTTAATGTCTCAATCAATCACAAAACATCACAAAAATATCAAATTCAGAATATTTTTCTACAAAAAACAATAACAACTGACTATATTCTATTGGCTCAGTTCATTGCACCTTTTGACCACATTATGACTGACATTTTTCATTATTTATACATGGCTTAACATATTTAACTTTTTTTTATTTCGGTCTCGTGTAAAAATTCAGAACTGGTTAGGAACCCAAGACCAACATTAGCGGACGGATTGTGTTTCAAACACTTCACAAAAGTGAATCAAGCATATCGCATGCGATAATTCATTAATATTTATAATACCGAACCCGAAAATATATGTAATCGCATGCAAAGGCAATGCAAAGCCACAGTATTAATCTCATTTAAATCAAATTAATTCCACACTTTGAATTTTTGAAGTGTCGATTTTTTGCTGTCTGTTTTGAAAAAATGTATAATATATAATAAATAAATATTTATAGAAAACCAATGCAATATCTTAAGTATTCATTCGGTTAGGACTGCTATATATTTGAGGCTATTTTTAAGCACTATATTTATTGGAGTATTTCTATTAACATTAGCAAAAGATTAATTTGGAAACCATATGGGATTCGATACGCATTTCTGTGGAAGATCACCTGCTCGCACGTGCCCAAGAGACTTTGTTGAGATATCCATATATGCATCAATATGCTTGACTATTTGAAAAATTCCAAAACAAAGCTAATGGATCCATTTATCATCTGCGCCGCCTGACCTTAACACATTCAATAAATATGGTTAGGTCTACGCTTCAATTTATAAGTTTTGTTTAATTAAATTGGAGATGCGTTCAATATTTGCAGTTGTAAATAAGCGTGGCCTCTCTAGCCTCTTGATCAAACATAAAGTTTAAAATTTATGAAATTTTAAAATAGGCGGGAATGTGTTAAAAATGGGAGGTGTTTTGAAAAATGATTATAATACCAATATCGTTCAAGATAAATTAGAAAAACCTTGAAACTTTATGTTTTATAGATACGAACTTTATTATATATAGTAGCTTACCTAACTTATTATAAATAGTAATAAATTAATGACTGTTACCAATCCCGCCCTCTCCTGGTTTTAGAAAGGATACTCCCGATGTAGTTTAAAATGTGTCCCCATTTTATCGTCATATTTCAGTGTTGCTACCTGGCCCACGAAAAAGGCAATAATCTGCTTTTGTTGCAGAAACACACCCGTGGAGAGAACATTTTTTGAACTTTGCAAAGATTATGCCACAAAAATCAAGATTTTAAAAAATTAATTTAATAAAAAACCCCCCGCTTCCCAACACTAGGAAAATATATTTATTCAAGACACAAACCCTTAGCTCCGTCTTCGTACTTTCCCAGCACTGGTAAACTTGTATATTTATATATATGAATATATATGCATTATCTGGGTATACTTTCCTATATATATATATATATGTACTGCGACATACACACTTCTGTGTACACTTTTAGATGAGGTCGTGCGACTACAATATTTCCGTAACCCACCCGGCTGCTTTTTCTGGTCGCCTGTTAAATGACGCGCGATACAACAAATCGTATTGCACAAATTTGAGGCGGAAAAAAGTAGCAGCCAACGAGATGCGAGCGTGTGTGTCGTCGCTTCAGAGTGAGAATTATTAACGGCTGGCAGCCTTTCTTTTAGCCACTTTTTTTCTAACATCGCCCCCCCCCCATTTGGGGAGCAAACACCACCTGTTGAGTCGTGCGATAAAATCGTGCTTTAAAGGATGGGGGCGGATGGGCGCAGCCAAAGGAGATGCAGGGAGAAACCTCAATCGGACAAGAAGCCAATTACAAATGTGATTGCCAATAGGCCTGGGACCTATCATCGAATGCAGTGACCAAACAATGGCCAATGCCACATGAAATTCGAACTCCACCCACATACATAATTGGGTTTCCCTTAACCCTTTTCGGCGGGGCAGGGAATGAAAACCCGTTTTCGGCTTTAAAGTGCAGGTTTTTTGGTGCAGAATTGAAGGAGAGATCGTTTCTTTGGCTGGTTCTTGGTTTCGGCTTGTTTATTTGTACTTTAGTGGGTTTGCTTGATTGCTTTATTGGCGTTTGCGTTTGGCCTGGTACCGGGAACCAGTGAGTGCCGGCCTGGCCAGTAATGGTTCTTATCCCGGTTTAAAGCACTTCGGTTGGTCTGCGCCTGTCGCACCAGTAAACAGCTAACGCCGGCCAGGCCGCTATCGTTTAAAAACAATGCCCTGCCGAATCGGTGAATCGGTGTGTCCATAATCTGGCTATGTGTGTGTCTGTGCCAGCAGCGGCAGCAGCTGTGACGGCGTGACGGCAGCCAATAAGAGCTGCCATCCAACTATATGAGGGCAAACACCATCTTCCAGGCTCTGTGCGCCTGGTGACCGGTTTGTGTCATTCGACCAACACAAAATTTTAAACGTTCCGCTTTCAGGCACTGGGCGAACGCTTGCCGACCAATAAAGTGTAGCAGCACCAGAGCGCGCCGGCGGTACGGCGGCCCACATCTACATCCACATGCCCATTTCATTCACAGGCACAGAGACTGCCGCCACTTCCACTTCCATTTCCATTTCCACCTCCACCTCCGAAATGCAGGAATCGAATCAAACCGAACCGAGCCAACCAAAGCTGCGACGAATAAAAGAGGCAGAAGCCGGCACTCGCATCCGAATCGTTGGCTTTGGTATTGGTGTTGGTGTGTATCTGTGAGTTGTGTTGTGTATCCGTCGGATTGCTCGCACCACCGTTGCCGGTTCTCGGTGGTGGGCCGCTCGACTACCTGCCTGTTTCTGTTCACCTGGCTGAAATATCGGTAGTTTTCTTGGCCGCGTGACGATTTGCCGCGTGACATCGCCTCCATTGATTGGAATCCGCATCGATCTATGTAATGGGATGTAGTCCTCGAATCGAATTTAAATTATTTTTCAAACAAAAGTTCCTTTTTGGTTTTTTTTTTTAAATCGACAAAATAATTCCATTCTTACTACTCTTTTCTCCACTCAGAGAAACCCGACAAGGGAAGCTACTTTCTCTTGTAATATATTTCCTTTCAGCACTTTCAAAACACTCGATTACTGTCCAATTCCTGCTGGTCACACTTAACTGTTATCGAATATGGGCGCGCGTAATTTAAACTAATGGGCTAATGAAAGTTTATAATTTTTAATTGAAGGAGATCGTTTCTTTGCCTGGTTCTTGTTTTCGGTTTCATTTGAAAAGTATTCAAAAAATACTTGGTCAAGCCATACATGAATCTTCAGTATATGCAAATTTATAAAAAAAAAGATAAAGTGACTTGCTTTAAAACTAACTATGCATCTAATTCAACGCCACAATAGGAGCGTAAACAACCGAATCTCAAACAATACAATGAGCCAAAAAAAAAACAGGTCTAGGCTAGGAAAGAGCAAAAGCCAAATTAAGAAAGTGTTGGTTTGTTTACGTTGCTGACCATTTCTTCTATCACCGCCATCGCAGCTGTGACTGTGAATCTCTGAATTGGGCAGCCAGGGGAATAATGGAAAAAGGCAACAAAATAGAAATAGTGCCAGTCTTGGCCCCAAGCTTCAAGATTTTGCCAGACGGCTTTCAGTCGTAATTGTGACTTCAGCCTATGCGGACGTGGATAAAGTTCGTTTAATATATATACGTGACGTGACTAGGAGGCTAGGAGGGGTAGAGAAATTCATGCAAATTTTCATTTTGCATTTGTACGGGATCTCATTATCATGCACGACTGAGCCTCCATAAAAGTGATCAGATTGTGCATTCCCCGGGCCTTAATCTGACAATTCCAGTCGCGCATGCGCAAAGCATAACCAATCACTATTCCGTCAAAACTCCCCCGCACGTGTGTTCCAAAATATAGAAACACTTTTGAAGGTTTTTTAAAGACTCTAAAAAGCCATCATAATGACGGCCCCACCTGGTCTATTACACATGGATCATCCGGTCAAAGCTTTCTATCAGTTTTTCCTCGACTTGATTATATTCACCATAAAATCTGTGTTTTACATACTGGAGTCACTATATTATACCCTATTGCCCCAGCGTTTTAGAAAGTTAAAGGTAACAGCCCCGAAAATGTCGTGAGTGCATAATTTAATCGTAATTTGATAGACTTTCGTTTCCTCTATTGACCCTGGTCGGCAGTTGATTGCGTTAGCTACATATAAAAAAAAAGCCTTAAAAAAACACCCACTAAACAAAAAGGAATTAAAAAAATATTGGTTTGCAGAAAAAACCTCAAGTTCGCCACTTGAAATCAATCAAAGTTCCATAGAGCTACCTCAAAGCCATTTCTCTTGTTTTTCCATTCGGCTGGCCGTCAGTTTTTGGCAATTTCACAAACTTTAATGAGCCACGCGCAGTTTTCTGGTAATAAAAACAAATCATATATGCCTAAAAATATACGAATTTATAATACTCTTTCCTTTATCTTCCTAATACGGTAGAAGTTTATTAACTTGGTTTTCCTATGAAGACTAACTAAGCTTTGTTTTAGCCATAAATTTGTAAATTTCTTTGTGCATTTTTCGGCATCCATAAATACCTCTTTGAAACAAATATCCACCTTTGTTTTGATACGCTTCGATGGCAAACAATTTTGTTCACACGCTTTGCTGATTACTTATGAATGAACCACTGTCTATTTACCAATTGACTTTTTTTGGGATTTGGAATCCCAAGACGTCACCTCTGATAGGGTTTTGAGTACCCGCCAAGCTACCGACTCGACCACTTGAAATATTTGTGCAAATATTAGTCTGTAGACCTTTGGTTTCAATTACCCGAAGACCAAGGGTGACATTGAACTTAAGCTATTTTTTTGTTTTAAGATAAATGTTTGTCAAGCTTAAGTTAAGGCGCTTCTCCAAAAAATATACGACTTCGTGACTTGACAGTCCAATAAGCAGCAGCACAACCAAGCTTAGTATGACAACAAGTTTTTCCGCATCCATCTGAAACTACCACCTGGTACTTCACAATGCCTTTTCCTTACATACTTTTGTTGTTGCATTTGATTGCGAAATGAGCACCAAAACATCGCGAAAAATATATACAATTTGCAATCCAACCGAAAAGCAAAAGGAAAAGAAAATGTGACCTGCCTATCCAATGGAAAGCAAGAGTTATCTTTTGGAAAAGCGCCATGCCAGGTTATAGGGTATACTAAACTTGGTCAGTGTTCCTAGCAAGATGTTTGCAACACAGTTCCCCTATTTTAGTTCAAGTACATGTTGCAAACGTTTGCCAAAAACTAAAAGCTGTAATTTATGCAAGTTGTTGGCGTCACATTTAATGCTCCATCATCCAACATCCGTCGCACCTTTTCGTATGCTAAATGGGAATACATAAATATAATACGTTTGTGTCCGACGGTTGATGACGGAAAAAATGCAAATGAGACAAAAACATTGCAAAATTGTTAAAAACAAAAATATAAAAGCAACTTTTAGCAATAAATTTCCATTTGTAAATAGTTAAATTTAATTTAAAACAAAAGTTATGACGAACTTGACTTTACTTTAAAGTTTAAACCTATGAACAATACTAATTACTTAACTAGTTGGCAATATTAATGACTTAATTATATTCTTAATATTTTTTTTAATTCAGGATATCTCTGGTCAGGTGGTGCTTATCACAGGCGGGGGTGGCGGTGTTGGCCGCCTTATAGCTCTCAACTTTGCTCGACTTCAGGCCCGCATTGTCATCTGGGATATCAATCAAGAAGGTGAGTCTTCACACCAGGGTGCTAATTGCCTGGTCACCGCTTCAGTGGGTAGCGGGTCAAGAAACCCGGTAGCTAGTGAAAGCTGTTACATTTACAATTTGATTAGCTGAAGCGAACAATGTTTGACTAAATTTTCCGTGCAGCCATCAAGACAACGGTGGATTTGTTGGCCAAACATGGTTTCCACGATTGCAAGGGCTATGTGGTGGATATCTCGGATCGGGAACAGGTCTACCAGCGAGCCAGTCAGGTGACCGAGGAAGTAGGACCCGTGGACATACTCATTAACAATGCTGGAATCGTTTGTTGCAAACCCTTCTGGGAACTGCATGATCGTGTCATCCAGAACACCTACAACATCAATATCATCTCGCACTACTGGACCGTTAAGGCCTTCCTTCCTCACATGATGCGCCATAATCGTGGCCACATTGTCACCGTGGGTTCTGTCACCGGAATGTTGGGAACCTATGGTTGCAGTGATTACGCGGCCACCAAATACGCATGCATCGGTTTCCACGAGAGTCTTCTGACGGATCTAAAGGCCCATGGCTATGACCAGGTCCACATGAGTCTGATCTGCCCGTACTACATTAATACGGGCATGTTTTCGGGGGTTAAGCCCCGCATGCAGCCCATGCTCGAGCCGCAATATGTGGCGGATCGTATCGAAAACGCAGTCCGTTGCAACGAAGTGTGGTGCGTCCTTCCCAACTCCATCCGAATGCTCACGCCCCTGAAATGGTGAGTGTTTTCTTCTAGGCATGGGTATTTGGTTTTCCTTAAAGTATATTTTTTCTGTAGCCTGTTGCCCGCCAAGATGTGTTGGGAGCTGATGTATCGTGTCATTCGCGGTCCAGAATCCATGATGATGTTCCAAGGACGAGGACGCGTGGCATCTGGTTGATTTTCAAGAAAAGATTTGAAATTCGAAAGAGGAAGTCCTTTAGTTTAAGTTGTTTTAAAAGAGGCGATTATACATAGAATTAAACTAAATTAATAAAAAACGTTCAAATTACTGATAAATTTTATAATTTATTTCAACTCACTCTTATTCCAGCACCGTTGTTTGTTGGTAGTAATGTGGTGCCAACTCTGTCAACCATTCCCTCTGGATGACAGTAACACGATTCATGAACAACTTGGTGGTCTGGAGCAGCTCTCCATAGACCACGTACTGTGCTTGGGGCAAAGTATATAGGGTAGAGTCTGGGTGGATGGCCAGCTCGGTTCCGCTGCTTATCTGCCTGTAAACTCCGGAATGATGCAGATAAGCCACTTGAGTGAAGAAGCCGGCGGTTATGCATTTGCATATAATTTGCACATCCCCTTTGCAGGAGAAGATCGGTATGCCATACTTTTTGCTGACCAATGTAATCAGTTGCTCCCTTAACTCGTATGCGCGCTTTAGATTTCGATAGATGAGGTAATACTGGCCGCAGAACTCCTTCGTCCTGCCCTCCTCCACGAAGGCGGTGTAGATATTTAAGAGTGTGATGAAATCACCCTCCGCCACCTCGAAATGCCGGTGAGCGATCCTTCCACTCTGTTGGGCTGCCGCAGAAACTGGTCGCGAGAACACATTTTGCACTTGAAGCATAGCTATAATAGTTATGATCTCCTCTGAGCACCCCATCTGTCCAGAAACATACAGCATCTTCGAGAGCATAGCACCAAAGGGAAGTTCAGCAAGGAGGTATCCCACGGGCTTGGTGAGATTTCCCTGCTCATCGATAGCGTCTAAAGCAAAGAGTGTTTCCAAAGCTGAGAGCAGATTCTGAGCCGGCGGCGGGGAGGGAAAATCGAAGCGCAAGATGTTGCGAATGCCCAGAGCTTTCAATTGGAGCACCGCTCCACTCATTTCGCTCCTGCGCATTTCGGGAGGCTGCCTCGGAACCAGGGAATCGTAGTCTGCCTTGGTGTACAAGTGGTATACTTTTCCGGGCCTTACACGACCCGCTCGTCCCGCTCTTTGAACTGCAGACGCCTTGCTTACGGGCACAACCACCAGACTGTCGCTGGAAGTTCTGGGATTGTACCACTTGACCTTGACGAACCCACAGTCTATCACGTAAACGATGCCCGGTATAGTGATGGAAGTCTCGGCAATATTTGTGGCCAGAACTACCTTTCGCACGCCCTTTGGGGGAGTAAAAAATACCGCCAGCTGATCGGTGCTCGACATGCTGCCGTACATGGGTAGTACTTTAAGGTTCTCCACCCCTGAACTATGAACATATTCTCGCAGCAGATCCAATGCCTCCAGCACTTCCTCCTGGCCGGTTAAGAAGGCTAGAATATCGCCAGGTGGCTCTTTCTGGTGTAGTTTCCAAACTGTTTCCACCGTCTCCTTCACGTAATCAGCGCATGGTTCGTTGAGGTAGAAATTGCTCACTGCATGCATGCGTCCTTCGATGGTCAGTTTCACACTAACCTCTCCAGAACCCGGCCAGCTGAAGAACTCGCTGAAGAAACTTGCGTCAATGGTGGCCGAGGATATGATGATCTTTAGGCTGCTTCGTTTCTTTAAAATCTTCTTAAGCAATCCCAGAACCATGTCGGTGAGCATGTTTCGCTCGTGGGCCTCGTCCACAATGATAACTCCGTACTGGGTAAGCAAAGGGTCACCCAGAAGTTCACGCAAAAGGATTCCCTCTGTCATGAACTTGATTTTAGTCTCAGGGGTCATCCTCTCCTGGAAACGCACCACATAGCCGACCGAATCGCCGACTAGTTCTCCTCGTTCCTGAGCTACGCGATTAGCCAGAGTTATCTGTAAAATTGTAATTTTGAAAATGGATACTATCTTGAAAGTTGTGAAATTGTAATTACGGTGGAAACTCGGCGGGGTTCGGTGATGCCAATGAAACCTTTGGAATGCCATCCATATTCGTACAGGTACTGAGGAACTTGAGTGCTCTTTCCGCTGAAAAAAATGTAAAATATGATATGAAAACATGGTTATTGGTTTATGCATTCCAATCCTACCTGCCTGTTTCGCCCACCAATATAACCACTTGGTAATTCTCCAAGCAGTACAGAATTTGGTCCCGGTATTTTCGTATAGGCAAACGTTCCCGCTAGGTAATAAATAGTTTATTAATTAAGTAAAAACAATTAAAATTGGAGTCTTACCTGTTCAGTTAGGCCCAGATTGTGGTTAGCATTGAAAACAAAGGCAGATTCTTGCTGCTCGCTGGTCCTGCTGTCTTCAATGGCATCGTCTGTATCTGGCTTCAAGAATTTTGGTTTAAATGTAGCCATTTCTTGATTATTTAAGAAAATCTATAAACTTGTTTACAATTAAGAAACCGGCTATAGTGATGCCATGGTAGCTCCTAAATTTAGCCATTTCAAAGTTATCGTTATCGTTCCGACAGGTGGCGACACTTTGCCTTTTTCGAATTTTCCTATGTGACCAGATTAAAAGATTTCAAATTTTATACGTTACATTTCATTTTCAAACTCTGATTTAGTCAGATTCCCAGATTCCCAAAAAATGCACAAAAATTTGCATCTGGCTTGCTTTTACACGTGTAACCCAAACGTATGACTACAGATACTTTAGAATGACCTTCTTTATCCAAATGAAAATTAACTCTAATTGCTGAGGCAAGGTCGCCTGTATTCCGTGCATTAAATATATTCTTTTAATATATTTATCTTGTCATATTCATACATGGTATGGCATTTTGACCGCCACGTGCGAGTGTCAAAAGTGTCCCAAGAGGGTGCAGCTGTCGCCGACAGAAGCGCCTGGCCAATTGCTTTTGAATAAATATTGTATCTCTCGAACGACAAAACAAACACTGTAAACCCAACTTTTGTTTCTCCTCTTTTGTATTTTGATTTATGCAACGCCAGTGTGTAATATATGTATATGCATATTCCTCAAATAATGGGGGGAGAATTCAACAAATTGGTGGCCCTACATGCACGGTACTCTGCATTGACCCTGACATTAGGACCGCTCGCTTTAACTTTAACCCGAACACGTGCCAGACATGCACGTTTGACCAACCACATCCGCATGCCAGTGCTGAAACAATAGCCCATTGCCTAGTGCTGAAACCCTCCTATAGTTTTTCGTCCTTATATTTTTGCCCCAGACCTCCAGGCGTATGAGTAATCCGAGAAAAGCTAATTAAAGGCCAACGCCGAACTTCATGCCAAGGCCGAGGCGCCAAGTCGCCAAAACCAAAACGAAAGCAAATCGGTCGAAGCCAAAAACTCTACAAGCAGTTTGTAAACACGGACCATCGAGGCCTGAAAATCTCTGACGCACTGAAAAAAATCCGAACCCACAACTATAAACATAGTTCTCCACTAAGGTCATAAACAAAGCACCTTCAAAAGAACGTTGTAGAGTTTCTTCAAAATAGTATCATTAATTCAACGGCAATGTTTTCGTCAAGTGAGTATTTGGCTGGGGGTTCCGTCCAGTTCCCGCTTTGGTTGCATATAAATTTTAATAAATTCCCTCAAGGACAAAGTTTTACTGTCAAACGGTTGTCGGCACTTCACCGCCTCTCTACCCAATTTTCGATTCTCCGTATCTCAGGCACCTGACTAAATGCCATAGACCCCGATACGGGCCTATGTGAGACCTAACAGTTATTCTGACTTTTACGAGCCAAGTTTCCTTGGAAATGCGCCGCTCATACAATTGGATTGATGGTAACGGAAGGGAGGAAAACGTCGGTAAACGTTGTATCTGTTATGGCTATAGTTTAGCGATGACGACGATTACAAACCCAACAGTTATGCGTCCTCGACACCAAGCGAGTGGTGCGAAAAAGGACGCTCCCCGGAGAAGGCACTGGGGTCGGGGCTGGCGTCATTGTCTTGCGTGCCTCGAATTTGCGTGATTCATGATGGCAACTTGAATGCAACAGCAACTCCAAACAACACCCGACACCCCTCGCTAGCTACTTTTTTCATTTTATTTTATTTTTTTCCTTTGGCGCGTCTTCATGTCTGCTTTAATTACTGGAACTGGAACTAGTCCCTGCACCACTTAATGCCAATAAAAATGTCAATTGCACATACATGTAGTCAAGCGAGCGACCTTGGACTTCCGGAATGCCACGGAACGCTTTCCGGTCAAGTCAACAGGAGGTGCAATCGAAAATGGAGCCACATTGGGGTGGTCTATATGTACATATGGACATATCATTCGAAATTATGGCGATTAAAATGGATTTTTTTTTCGGCTAGTACGGATACGGCATCCATCCTGACAGCTGAGCGGCGTAAACAAAACAAAAACAACAGGCTGAGAGAGAGAGAGAGAAATTGAGTAACACGTGCTCCAAAAGTGTCGGCGCTACGTGGCGTATACGTATTGCGCTGACGCTGTGGCCATTTTCCAATTGTTTTCTGTTGTTGTTCTGGCGAATATAGCTGGCTAATGGGTTTCGAAAACGCATCCCAATCCGCTGCTGCTACATACTTCTTATCCTGCTCCGGTGTACAGTTACGTTACGCTGGGCAACGTGCAAAACAAAAGGCGAACTCCGGACTCCGCCAGCGGCGGGCACTCGCTCACTCTCGCATCCTAAATGCGCACGAGCATGAAAACGAGTTGCAAGGCGGTGGGAGGTAAACAGAAAGAGGACGAAAACAAAGAGAGGCGAAAACACTGCCAAAAAGGATCTACCTTGGCATACAGAGAGTTGAAAGGTGAACCACCAAGAAAATGCAAAATTTATAGCATACTTTGCGGCGTAACGATCCTCTACTGAATCCTCTTGTTGCTGTCGTTGAAGTTTTGTTCTCATTGTTCCTTTGTAAAGATATATTTTGAAAAAGTTTAATAGCTAGAGAGAGAATTAATATTTTTTAATATTTCTTAAAATAAAATCGTTAATCCTAGGGTTGAGTTGTTAGCATTTTCTTGGAAGAACTAAAACACTCTTATTTTTGGAAAAACAAGCTGTGTAATTTAATCCAAACTCAATCAGTGACATCCGGTATAATCAATGAAGTAGAAAATTAAATAATTTATTTTCAATTTCTAAACAAATTAAAAAACTTAACAAGGTGTGAAATAATTTCCTTAGTGATTTACATATGTATGTACTTGCCATCAATAATGAGCAACTGTTTTCTTAGTGAACTTTATTTTTGAAAGTGCATCAAGAGAACAAGCCTGTGAGAATTGCAAAAGGTGAGGGATGGTGGCCTGAGAGCAAGAGAGGCCAATGTGAGCCACGAAGGCGAAAAATCCGTCACTTTTTTCTGCCACGTTGCAGTTCGGCTGAAAACAGCAACATCTGCTGCTTGCTGCTGCTGCTTCTGCTGCTACTGCTGCTGCTGTGCTTTCATTGCTGCTGCTCCTTGGGAATAAATTCAGTTCGTTGTCGTCAGTCAGTCAGTTCAGTTCGGTTTTTGCAGTGGAGACCAGCCACCACCACCACCCAAGGAAAAACTATCCCAAGGCGAAAGGCAACAACAGCAACAGTGACAGAGACCGCAGCGAATTGGAGCAAAAGCAACAAATCCAGGAGGAACAGTTGATGCAAAAAGTTCTCGGACCAGCGACTAGCAACCAGCAACCGCAATCGAATTAGCTGAACAACTCAAACTCGATTTCACCAATTCCACTGTGCGTGTACGGCTCGTGCTGTGTGGGTGCGTGTGACTGTGTTTGTGTGTGTGTGTGCGTGAGTGTCCTTGGCTGGCTGGCCGAAAACTGAAGTAAATCAAACTGAATGCGAATTCAAAGCGGTTGAAGCATATGTACAGCTAGGAACAAGAGGAATCAGCAGCAGACGGAGCAGAACTGTGTGGGAACAGGAACCTTAGCGGAATATATCCGGCCTGGTCGCATCAGAAAATCAATTTTCTGCTAAAATACACAAATTGCAACCATAGAAGGCGTCTCGCAAATTCGAAAACGATACCGAACCAGCGAGAATAATAATCGACTGCAGAACTTCCCCCCCATTCCCAAACTCGCGGTCGCGGTCGCCATTATGTTGGACTAGCACACACACTAGCGCACACACACTACGCACTCACACACACGCGCGGCATCAGCATCCGCCGAGGAACGGTACAGAAAGCGTACAGACGCCGCCTGGTTAGGCCATCTGTGTGGAGGTGCAACGGGGGCCCAGAACACAAAGGGGAGCACGAGAAGCCTAGTGACAGTCCGAATCTGAATCATACTCAGAATCCGAATCCGAATCTGAATCTGAAGCAGTTTTAAACAGTTGTTTCCAGAAGAACCAACAGACAGAACAGTCGCGTCCATCGAATCAGGCCCATCCAGAAGCTGAATACCAAACAAGGATAATCAGTTTCAGCCTGCCGACATCTCCATTCGACAAGGGCCTAACCAATGCAGCAAAGCATATAAACCAAAATTCCAGAAAATAACAAAAACTACAAGCTCCAAAATATATAAAATCCAAATCCAAATAATAACTAAATTTTCTAAAAAAAAAAGGCATCTGTGATTATCATATAACAACATAAACAAATAACAAGAAAAATTATTTTCATATTGCACTTTTTCAACAAAAAAAGAAAAACTTAAACTAAAAATTGAATAACTAATAACAATTTGATAAAAAAAAGAAAAGAAAAATAATCACAAACAATTTGGCGAGCGTAAAAAAATAAAATATATTTATATATATATGTAAATAATAGAAAACAAGCAAACTTGACACGCCTCGAGGATAAATCCGAAAAACCACAAAAGCAAAAGCAGCAGCAGATCGCAGCAGAGGCAGCCACCAATTCACTCAAGGTCAACGGAATTAATATTTTTTGTAAGTGCCTAGTCATCTGATTCTTTTCTGGGACTGGGATTGGGATTTCAGTCTTTCGATTTAATTGAGAAACCGTCGCTAACTTTTCTGCGCGCCATTCCCAATACCGAAGATGCACATGTGCATGTCAATTAGTGGATGCGCCTCAAGAACTCGCATCTGCAATCATCAGTGGCCGAGGCCCCCGAAAAGTGTACGTTCGATGGGCTTAGCACCCTGCGAGATAGTGCGAAATTTTATTGTAAATTTTATAAGGGTAATTTTCGAGATTTCCTATAATGGCTTTATTATTGCGACTAATCTTTTATATCTGGGTCAAAACGATTAGGTTTCGTCTAACCTTTTTAAATTTTATCCTTTTAGGACTTGTCCTTAAACATTCATTGATGATTTTCTTAGTTCTTTTTTTTCGTGTCTGCCCTCCTCAGGTTTCCTTTTATCCTCCCACGTAAATCCCTTGTATTTAATCTGAATTCTTGTATGTATCTTTTGTTCGGTCTTTTCTTGCGAATTCCTTATTCCTGGAAGATTGCCAAAATGGTGTTCACCCCTGTCCAGATCCTGTTCAGAACTAGGGAAAACACGTTCATGACAAATGCATGATGCCCTGCCGGTCAGGGTATTAAAATTTAACGCATCGCAGCCATATGGCAACTCAATAATTAGGCCAAAAAAAAGGCCAAACGTAACCAAAATAAATTGGCTGACAAGTGCGATAGCATGCCACAGGTAAAGAGGACCAAAAGGGAAAAAAGTGGGTGAGATTAGGCGGCGGTATATGGCAGGGCACTCGGAGCGGGAAAGCGAAAGGGAACCGGACTGGGACTTTCTCTGGGCGATGTCGGCACCTGCGGTGTCGCGTCTACTTCTCGGGCCCCTTGGGGTGTCACACTGCGAAATGTCAACGGTATTTTTATCCATTAACCAAACAAAATGGTAATATCAGGACTCTGACAACTGGCACCCACGGTTTACATATTTGTGGCAAGACTCCTACATGCATGGAGAAAAAAATATGCAGAAATTAAAGTTCAAGGATATCTCAGTACTAGTTGTGTAGAAGTACCATTATATTTGATCACAATTTAGTTTCATATCATGAAAAAATCTATTAATTATATTAAAACTACTTTTTCTCTGTAGACCAATTCTCAATCGTAATATTGATTTTGTCCTCCCAACAAAGAACACAAGTACGAAGCCGAAGCCCCGTCTGAGTCGGAGCAGACGTGATGAGATACGTGGCATATCTTGGCCAACTAGTCTAGGTCTAGTCTCTATTTGTTTCTACCCCCCGCCCGATCACACCTTGGGTTATGTACAACATGACTAATACTAATTCCAGCCAGCATGTGCGCCATCATTACGTTCGTTTGAGGCACACAAATAACTGCAATAAATAGTCATAGTAACCCCAGGCGGGAGGCCAGATAGTTGGCGGCCCAGGGCAGGCACATGCCTTGAATGAGCGAAGGATAATGGTATTTGGCGCATTCACCAATCAATCACAACGGTCATCAATCAAAACAAGCGAAAAAACACAAATTAGTTGCAAATATGCTGGAATATAAGAAAATTATCGCAAATTAGAAGTACAAGAGAAGCTTTAAGTATGACCTATGCGGGTACCTCTACATATTTGGAATTTAAATCCCATCAACTCGTAGACTGGTTGATGAATGTATTTTGCAAATGTCCTTCAAGCCTTGCCAAAATAATTAACTAGAGTCCAATCATGTCATCATCATAAGACAGTAATTGATCCGAAATTCAGTTAATTGAACCAAATTGATTATTGGGGATTACCTGTTTCGCCATTGCACCCTACTGATAATTTGGCTCAATTGCTGATGTCCTTCTCAGACACAGCCAATTTGCATGGCTAAGTAGTTAGGATATGGATATAGGAAGCACATTGACACATTCCATTGAACCACTTGCGGATGAACATCCTAAACATCCGGACGTGTGCCTTTTGAGTGCGACTCTCGATTTTCCAGCATTTTACTTTCCTTTGTTGAGAGGACATGGGGATGTCCTTGAAAGAGGCCAGACGTGAGACCTTGATACAAAATAAAAACCTGCGGTATTGAAAATTAAGCAAAAGTTTCAAATTACTTTATTTTCTTTTGCAGAAATGGAAATCATTCCTGAAGGTAAACACTTTCGTTTGGTGCATGAATCAGAGCTTCCAGAAATTTTGGTAACTTTAGAACGTTATCTGCCGGAATCATTAAAGGTGTGTATACCGATCTTTGATTTTTTTTTTACATTATTATTTTCATCTTCAGTTATACGCTTGGCTTGACACCAAGATATTCCCCAGGTGCCACGCCCATTTCTCAAATAATTTACCAACAATTACCAGCAGTTGCCTCGTCCATGGGCCTGTAAGAGGGGGCTGTGGAGAAGTCAGTAGGCGTTACCGAGACCACAAGTCATGCAATCTCAAACCCTCAAACCGGGCCCCTAGTTATTTCTTTCTGTTGACCTGTTTTCACTGTTTACACTTGTATTTTTGTTCAATTTTTAATGCCACTCCGCCCCGAACATCACGTGCTTTTGTGCTTTTGTTGAAGCCAGCGCCCCGCGGCGATATCTATAGCTTTCCATAGAGAGAAAGGCATTTTTTTTTGGCTTGGCACCGGCAACGGCGTCAAGGATTTGGCCACCATTGAAGTTGCTTAAAGTTTCGATTTTTAGCGAGAAACTTTTCTCCAGGGCGGTTACTGCTTATAGAATGCAATGCCAACGGCTAAGGGAATACTTTTGTGTTAAGCTATTTATAATTGCCACAGTTATGAAGTATGTATAAATTACCCAAATTTAAGCAAAGTTTAATAAACTAATTTATACTTGCAGTTTCATCAAACCATAAAAACGTACCTGAATGATCGTATTTGGGACTTTAAATTTTATGTTGCTAAAGATTGGCCCGACAAACCGATAATTCTTCACTTTCCAGGATGCACGCTTGCGGTATGTTTATATACATATCACATACAATTTTCATGAAATGAATTTCTAAAAAATATCCATTGTAGCCGCACAACAATATATACCAAACTCTTGGCATATTTTGTCCATCCGCACACATCGAGCATGTCGATTTGATGCGCACCGAAGATGTACTTATAGATTGGCGGAAGCCTATGTACCTGAACTTTACGCACATCGCCATCATGAATCGCCTGGATGACTTCTATTCGAAAATCGGAGTGATGGAGCGACTAAGTGGTGATATCTATGTGTGCAACAAGCTGAATACCGACCTCGAACTGGATCCGTTGCCGGAGGATGCGGAGATGCGTCTGCTGAACCTCGACAATGTGCAGGGCATTCACGATTTGTATCCTGCTAACGAAATCGAATGCGTTCAACTGTTCGACATCCTCGTCCGAAAGCTTCCGGGGCTGGGCATCTTCCGTAAGGAGACCGGCGAGCTGGCAGCCTGGATGGTTCACTCCTACTACGGTGCTATGTTCTCAATGCAAACACGTCCAGACTTTAGGCGCATGGGGTGAGTACATTTCGATCCGGCCCCGAACTTTCCGATCGCTATTCTTCGAATTTTTGTAAGAGTATCTTGAAAAGACAAGGAATTTCACTTTAGACCCAGAACCACGTCTATATCTTTGCCAATTTTCATCCGGTCCTCAAACGGAATACCTTAATCGATTTGTGGATCAATTCCGCATAAATCTGCATCAAAATCCTGGAACAAAATTTTTCATCGAAATTTTTTCAATTTTTGTGGGGGACCCCTTGCAAAATCTTCAAAACCCGGATTTTCCCTTTTGGCCCAGAACCACGTCTATATCTTTGCCAATGTTTATCCGATCCTCAAAAGGAATACCTTAATCGATTTGTTGATCAATTCCGCATAAATCTGCATCAAAACCCTGGAACAAAATTTTTAATCGAAATTTTTTCCATTTTTGTGGGGGATTCCTTGCAAAATCTACAAAACCCGGATTTCCACTTTTGGCCCAGAACCATGTCTATATCTTTGCCAATTTTTATCCGATCCTCAAAAGGAATACCTTAATCGATTTGTGGATCGATTCCGCATAAGTCTGCATCAAAACCCTGGAACAAAATTTTTCATCGAAATTTTTTCAATTTTTGTGGGGGACCCCTTGCAAAATCTTCAAAACCCGGATTTTCCCTTTTGGCCCAGAACCACGTCTATATCTTTGCCAATGTTTATCCGATCCTCAAAAGGAATACCTTAATCGATTTGTTGATCAATTCCGCATAAATCTGCATCAAAACCCTGGAACAAAATTTTTAATCGAAATTTTTTCCATTTTTGTGGGGGATTCCTTGCAAAATCTACAAAACCCGGATTTCCACTTTTGGCCCAGAACCATGTCTATATCTTTGCCAATTTTTATCCGATCCTCAAAAGGAATACCTTAATCGATTTGTGGATCGATTCCGCATAAGTCTGCATCAAAACCCTGGAACAAAATTTTTCATCGAAATTTTTTCAATTTTTGTGGGCGACCCCTTGCAAAATCTTCAAAACCCGGATTTTCACTTTGGGCCCAGAACCATGTCTGTAGCTTTGCCAATTTTTATCCGATCCTCAAACGGAATACCTTAATCGATTTGTGGATCGATTCCGCATAAATCTGCATTAAAACCCTGGAACAAAATTTTTCATCGAAATTTTTTCAATTTTTGTGGGGGACCCCTTGCAAAATCTACAAACCCCGGATTTTCACTTTGGGCCCAGAACCATGTCTGTAGCTTTGCCAATTTTTATCCGATCCTCAAACGGAATACCTTAATCGATTTGTGGATCGATTCCGCATAAATCTGCATTAAAACCCTGGAACAAAATTTTTCATCGAAATTTTTTCAATTTTTGTAGGGGACCCCTTGCAAAATCTTCAAAACCCGGATTTTCACTTTTGGCCCAGAACCATGTCTATATCTTTGCCAATTTTTATCCGATCCTTAAACGGAATACCTTAATCGATTTGTGGATCGATTCCGCATAAATCTGCATTAAAACCCTGGAACAAAATTTTTCATCGAAATTTTTTCAATTTTTGTGGGGACCCCTTGCAAAATCTACAAACCCCGGATTTTCACTTTGGGCCCAGAACCATGTCTGTAGCTTTGCCAATTTTTATCCGATCCTCAAACGGAATACCTTAATCGATTTGTGGATCGATTCCGCATAAATCTGCATTAAAACCCTGGAACAAAATTTTTCATCGAAATTTTTTCAATTTTTGTGGGGGACCCCTTGCAAAATCTACAAACCCCGGATTTTCACTTTGGGCCCAGAACCATGTCTGTAGCTTTGCCAATTTTTATCCGATCCTCAAACGGAATACCTTAATCGATTTGTGGATCGATTCCGCATAAATCTGCATTAAAACCCTGGAACAAAATTTTTCATCGAAATTTTTTCAATTTTTGTGGGGACCCCTTGCAAAATCTACAAACCCCGGATTTTCACTTTGGGCCCAGAACCATGTCTGTAGCTTTGCCAATTTTTATCCGATCCTCAAACGGAATACCTTAATCGATTTGTGGATCGATTCCGCATAAATCTGCATTAAAACCCTGGAACAAAATTTTTCATCGAAATTTTTTCAATTTTTGTGGGGGACCCCTTGCAAAATCTACAAACCCCGGATTTTCACTTTGGGCCCAGAACCATGTCTGTAGCTTTGCCAATTTTTATCCGATCCTCAAACGGAATACCTTAATCGATTTGTGGATCGATTTCGCATAAATCTGCATTAAAACCCTGGAACAAAATTTTTCATCGAAATTTTTTCAATTTTTGTAGGGGACCCCTTGCAAAATCCACAAAACCCGGATTTTCACTTATGGCCCAGAACCATGTCTATATCTTTGCCAATTTTTATCCGATCCTCAAACGGAATACCTTAATCGATTTGTGGATCGATTCCGCATAAATCTGCATTAAAACCCTGGAACAAAATTTTTCATCGAAATTTTTTCAATTTTTGTGGGGGACCCCTTGCAAAATCTACAAACCCCGGATTTTCACTTTGGGCCCAGAACCATGTCTGTAGCTTTGCCAATTTTTATCCGATCCTCAAACGGAATACCTTAATCGATTTGTGGATCGATTTCGCATAAATCTGCATTAAAACCCTGGAACAAAATTTTTCATCGAAATTTTTTCAATTTTTGTAGGGGACCCCTTGCAAAATCCACAAAACCCGGATTTTCACTTATGGCCCAGAACCATGTCTATATCTTTGCCAATTTTTATCCGATCCTCAAACGGAATACCTTAATCGATTTGTGGATCAATTCCGCATAAATCTGCATTAAAACCCTGGAACAAAATTTTTCATCGAAATTTTTTCAATTTTTGTGGGGGACCCCTTGCAAAATCTTCAAAACCCGGATTTTCACTTTTGGCCAGAACCATGTCTATATCTTTGCCAATTTTTATCCGATCCTCAAACGGAATACCTTAATCGATTTGTGGATCGATTTCGCATAAATCTGCATCAAAACCCTGGAACAAAATTTTTCATCGAAATTTTTTCAATTTTTGTGGGGGACCCCTTGCAAAATCTTCAAAACCCGGATTTTCACTTTTGGCCAGAACCATGTCTATATCTTTGCCAATTTTTATCCGATCTTCAAAAGGAATACCTTAATCGATTTGTGGATCGATTCCGCTTAAATCTGCATCAAAACCCTGGAACAACATTTTTCATCGAAATTTTTTCATGTTTTGTGGGGGACCCCTTGCAAAATCTTCAAAACCCGGATTTTCACTTTTGGCCAGAACCATGTCTATATCTTTGCCAATTTTTATCCGATCTTCAAAAGGAATACCTTAATCGATTTGTGGATCGATTTCGCATAAATCTGCATCAAAACCCTGGAACAAAATTTTTCATCAAAATTTTTTCAATTTCAAAAAATTTAAAAATATTGTTGGAATATAAAGAAATTTATTCTTTTTTTTTTGTTACAGGTATGGCATCCGTTTGGCCAAGTCGCTGACCCAGCTGGTGATCGAACGGGGCTATACTCCTTTCGTAGTGATTCGTCCCGGGAATGATGCTTCCCGAAATCTGTACACTAAGCTGGGCTACGAGAAGGCTTTCGAGACTTGCCGGGTGCGGATGACGCCGGACTGCTACGAGGACAGCACTGTGGGCACCATCGCCAACTCGTCCTACGCCAAGTTCCCGCCGCTGCCGCAGGGCGAGTGCGTGGTGGTGACAAAGCTGCCCAGGAAGCATGTGCCTGGTGAGAGCCAAACCGTGGATGAGGGCATCGAGGACATGTTGGCTGAAAAATGTGATATCAGCAGCGACGAGGCAAGGGAGCGCAAGACCACGACCGACGAGGGAATCGGCGAGGACAAGTAGGCCAGGATGGGAACAGGATAAATGGCATGCTTTACAAGATATACATCAATCGATCGGAGCGCTGCACCTGCGCTAAACTTATGCTTAAAGCTGTAAGCACCTCTTAGGACTCTTTAGGAAAGACAGGACATGGCACAACAAGTGGCGTTGATTTTTTAAACAATTATATTAATGGGAAAACCAAGAAACTGTACGAGTATATTTATAGATGGTATATGAAGCTTCCTCACACAGAACGGCGTCGATCGGAGAATGTAAATTTCGGCCGGAATCAAGGGATTTATTTTATAAGGGTATTGATAATGATTCAATGTCAAGAACTACACAATAACTCGGGGGGCTTAAATAGAACGTGGAAGCTCCGAAGCCAGAAATTTTAAACGGGAACCGAACACAGAGAGAAATTTTTAATTTTTTGCTAAAAATGCTTTTACAAAAATGAACTCCAAGAACGAACAAATAAACAAACAAACAAAAAACACAACATAGTAAAAGGCTCAAAGCAAAACCAAGGAGCGCATCAATTTATTAAAACTATTATATATTAACTCTATATATCGAATTGTTAAACAAAACTAAACAACACTCACACAAACTATTTCTCTCTATTCTGGCTCTCCACGCAAAATCTCTGAAACAGGATAATATATTTCGAAACAATGGTTTTTGGTATCAGAAACAAACACAAAATAACTCGCTTGGGCCACGAAACAGAGCTTTGCACACTTTTCCCTCTCTTTTTAAATGAACCCTGTTTCTGAATAAACATATACGAGTATATTTTTTCAAATATGTATTTATTGAATACTTTCGATGACCCAAACGAAGTGCTTTGATTTTAAATGGCCGTGTACCAACTACATTTGGATTTATAGGCTTTTTTCAAATTTATATATACCCAACCCAAAAAATTAAAAAAAGAAAAACAAAAATATAAAGATAAATATATATTTTATTATTACGAAATTTTATTAAACTACGCAAACGAGTACTCAATGATTTTGCTCCTATTTAGCTGATGATGAACTAAAAAGAAAAGATAATGAAACAACAAAATGAAACACGCCAAAGATGTCTTCTGCTTCATTTTAAGTACATACTCCCAAATCCCAAATTTTCCCGCGATTGATTTTCTATTTTCTATTTATGAATGCAAAACGAATCTCCAAATATATGCAAGAAAATCAAATTTAAAAAGTTATGTATTACATCTGCTATATTGTATGTACTCGAACAAAAAAATGAGAAAAACACAAAAAAAAACTGAGAGAAGCAAATTTAAATAAATAACAATATTGAGACAGCAAATCTAAAGGTTTTTCCTGTCTCTGACAAACTAGATAATGAGCTACAGTAGTTACCATCTTTTATCATTTTATTTATTGCTATTAGGAATAACCTTTTATAGTTTTAGTACTGAGGCCTTCAAGGAGACATTATTTCAGAGGTAACGACCATCTTTCCCACACTTATTTGCACATAAATAGTAACTCTTCCAAAGCATTAAATTATTTCCATAATTTACGAGGGCACTTCCCATCTTGTGAGTAGCCTCAGTTGAAGTGCACACTGCGCTAAAATTATCTTTTCATTGTTAATGAAATTTACGTGTACAAACACATTGCCGCTTAGATAAACATACCGGGACAGATGCGGCAAACACAAAGACATCTAGACATCATGTGGCAATATGCCTGTGTTGCCCTTGCAACGCTGATATGGGATATGGTTAATGAGATAACATCTTTTTCGACTGATAGATTTATATTTATTTGTGTAAAAAGAAGGCCTATGTTAGTTGATTGGGTGTTTAAAACTAATCAAAAAATGCTGCACTGGACTACTGCGCTCCCCCGGAGGCTTTGCTCAGCTGGTTCTTCAAGTGAGTGCATACATACTGCCAGTACTTGCGACGGATAACATCGTGCTTGGTGGCCATGTCCTCGCACAGGCCGTATACCTTTCTGGCCAATTGGTCGTCTGCGGGGGCCTTTAAATGCAGAGCCTGCTCCTGGTACACATCGATGAGGAAGGCCACAAGATAGGGCGAACGATTGCCACCCTGATAGAGCTCCTCCACGAATGCTATCACCTCGGGGTAGCTGTTCAATTGTCCACTTCCCCTATCGCCCTGTCGCATCACCCCAACTAAATAGTTCCAGGCACTCTCGTTGTTCTTGATTATGCGGATACGGTTCATCGTGTAGTCCAGCTCCCGGCGTATAACCTCCGGCGTGAAGCCCAAGTGCTTGTTCACAAAAAAGCGCTGGTTCCAGGCGGAATTGTTGCGTTGGTCCTCGCAAATCAGGCGGTCCACAAAATTAAGTTCGTCATCGTACAGGCTGAAATAACGAATTTTTAATGAAAATATAAGTAAAGCTATGGGTATTTCTTAACCCACTTGAAACTCCTAATGGCCCACTGACGGTGCTGCCAGGCATGGTAGTTCTTGGCGTCGCCATCATTCACCAAAGCGTTCTCTGTAAGCTCAAGTTCGTTGCTGGGGTCGTTTAGCATTTCGACAATGACGCGTCTGTGGTGCCACACCTGGTAGTTCTTGGAGTTCTGACCAATGACCTCACTGAGATACTCCAACTCATCATTCAGGTCCGCTTTAAGTTCACGTAGGACGTCTCGTCGATACTGCCAGACGGTGTAGTTGGCCGGATTCAGGCGAAGTGCATCCGTGGTGAGCTCTAGTGCCCGCTGGCTCTTCTCGTTTTTCGCAATTATGGCTCGCATATAGTCGAAAACCTCTCGGACTGCGAAGTACACATGGATAAATAAGATTGTCAGATAAAAACACTTTGTGTTACTCACACTTCTGACTGTAGGCGATGGCAACCACCGGGTGCGGGCCGTCATCCTGGGCCAGAGGCTCCACATCCTTCCATTCGGGGCGTTCGCTGTAGGGCAGCCATTCCGTGCCCAGGTACTCGTCGTCCGAGCTGTCTCCCATTTCTATAGACTAAATGCAGGTGGATGAGAACGCTTAATTCTGCGAAACGGAACGGGCAGTGCTTTTTATCAGTCACTTGATTAGTGTGGCCATGCAATAGTATCTAAAGTGAGTGAAAGTGTGACCAGTATGTAATACAGAACTTTGAAAGTTCGCGGTTAAATTAGCTTTTGAATTCTCCAATTCAAAGGATACAAATTATGGTAGGCCCAAAATATAGTATAGATTTTGAATTTTTTGTTAAAACATTTATTACGACTTGAATAAAAGTGCACAAAGTTTCTGAAATTGTTATTTAATTCCTTAATTACTAGACGTAGGCATCCCAGTGCGCAATCTAATACAATTAACTGATTGGTGCGGACGGAGTTCGTCTAAAAGCGTGGCTTAAACGTGGCCGGATACTGATTGAATCGTGGACGCAGTGCAGCATTCGATTTTTCGAACTTCTCGCCCGAGTTTCCCAGGATGACGCCATCGATGAGTTTGCCAGGCTGATCCTTGACATTTCCACGATCTCCATTGGCTTCGGCCACGTCAATGATTCTGGGATTCTTGCGGTATCGGTACCACCAGTACTCAAAGACCAGTGTGATGCAGGCCATTCCGATTCCCACAAAGATTACGATGAAAACGCCACCAATGTTCTGAATAGATATGCCATCTGATTGATCCTCCGGCTTCTCGCACTTGGCCTGGGCTTCGTCGTTCTTCCACCATTTCTCCTTTAGCTTTTCCAGTTGGCGTTTGTTAAGCAAAGTGAGGATACTTGAAAAGATTCCCGAAGGTAATCACAACGACCGAAACCCAAGGATTAAGTTAAAACTCACGCATTATTAAACTGATCCTTGAGATGAGATCCCTGCTGAACAGCAATGGCATATGGTTTTCTAGAGAACTCCTCACCCACCACTTGGAGATCGCAGTTGGTCAGCTGAAGGTACCGTATATCCGTGGCGTCTCCCAAAAAGGCGAATCCGGTGGCTGCGGTCGAGTTCCTCACCCGAGCCACTGCCTCTTCAAGAGTTGCCGGCAAAGCTGCCTCCTGCATGGCCTGCCACATCTTTGTGTACTTGTCACTAACCGGATAATCCCACACGGCAAGCTTGGAGCGCTCCAGTGGAGTCAGTGAGTCGTTTAGGGATAGATCTTTCCAGATCTCGTAGAACATCTGCTCGATATTAGCCATCCTTTCGAAATAGGTCATGGCTGATGATCCGTTGAGAGGAGCATACAGGATCTTGTATTGTTTGGCCAAATCATCCAAGCTCTCCACGGGCGTGTCCAAACGGGAGACGGTCAAGAAGGCAGCCAAATTGGCAGTGTACGAGGCAATGATGATGAATCTGTAGGAAAAAATAGTAGATTTTAATAGAACACCAACTAAGTTATATTTTAAGGAAGATATGCAGGTTTGGATGATTCAGACTTACCCAAAAAGCCACCAGGTGGCTGCCACTAAACGTCCAGAGAGATTCTTTGGTGCCTCTCCGCCCCCTTGAGGGGTCAATGAAGTCATACAGAACCAAAGACACTCTTTGAGGTTGAATTCTCTTTTCTCCTCATCGTCCTTGTACTTTTCACGGTTGTTCTGGTAGCTATAGGGACTCCAGCGATCAAAGACCCACATCAGAAAGCTGGTGAAGAAGTAGGCAGCCAGAATGCAAAGCCACACATTCGTCTCCAGGACAGTAAGAAACTTGAACAGCGAACTGGGTGAGCTGGGGCGCTGCATCATTATGGTAATCCCCACCAGATCATAGTATGGGACCGTGAAATCAATGACAATCTCCCGCTCCGCCATTACGGACATGCTACCCAGTCCAATGTCTGCCTGTTTGTCAATCAATTTCTTGACAATGCCGTTCCATTCGCCCTTTTCGTCCATGTTGCCAAACTTTTTGTCCTCCACTTCCTGGATGGTGTAATCGAAGTGTACAATAGCAGCAATTTCATTAATGAGATCTATGCAATATCCTTTGTATCCTTTCGGAGCTGTTTCGTCGCGCATTATAAAAGGAGCTTGCTGTGAGATTAAAAAGGATAAAGATATTTAATTTTAAGAATTTCAATATAGCAAGATCTCAAAATCTATCCACCCACCACAACAGTATAAATCCGATAGACCGTATCCGCGGTGAGATTCTTCATCTGCTCCTCATCCTTCACAACCAGGGGCGAGTCCAGGCCAGCTGTCCAGGTGCCAATCGATTTACTGTTCACGGAACTGCCACCTCGAATCTGGAGCACATTGATATCCATTTCGAATTTCATATAGCTATAGCCATTGAATGGTTGCTTTGGTTGCGTGACTAGGTCAAAGGTTCCGTAGGATGTCGGCTCGGTGGCCTGTCAAATAAAAACAAGAAAATACCCAACTTTTGAGTCATCGACCATAACTTGACCGCAAAGCAAAAGAGGGGAAAAACCTTTGTAAAATACTCCCGAAGATCCAGGTTTCTTTGGGGAGTGTTGCCGCCTTGGAAGTCGTCACAATTCAGGTACTCCATGTCCTTAGGCCAGGCGCCAGATTGTAACATTTCCCTGGAAATAAAAAGGATTAGTTTAAAAGAAGTACTAATATCGGAGCTTACTTAATGGTAAGAAAACTTCTTAAAGCCAGATCGAAGTAGAACGCAGAAGATAGCTGTGGCTCTTCGTTGAGATTATAGGTGGTGCGCAAAAGTCCCAGTCGGTCTCGATATTGCGTATACGCCATGGGCTTCAGGAACATTATGGTGGCATTGTCCCTCTGGCTGCTCACCTCGCCCTCGTTCTGAGTGATCGCGTGCCAGGCAAAGTTTCTTTCAAAGTAGGCCGGCTTCACAGACTCCAGGACGGAGCGAATGGACTGGAGGTTGCCCAGGATGAAGAAGTTATTGATGTCCAAGTTACGCAGCTTCTCGATTTGCTCCTCACGCTCTCGCTTGCCCTCCTTGGCAATGGCAGTGATAACGTGACGGGTTTGGATGTTTTGCAGCAAGGACTTGTACTTGTGATCCATCACGAAGGTATCGTCATACAGAATAGCAGCTGAGAAGGAAATGGTTTATACTTTTAAGCTCTATTCATATGACAAACAGAAAAACCTTTAAATATTTTAAAAACTAAAGCAATTATGTCAAATCTCTATTACCATTTGTAATGTTTAGACGCCTCACAATGCTACGAATCACTTCAGGGATAATGTCCCCTGGCGGCATCACCTGCAGCAGGTACTTTTGTTTGGATTCATCCAAATCTCGCCACTGCCTCAAGTCACCTTCCTGTCCGTAAGAGGCACTAATGGTAGGCAGTCCCAGAGCCTGGGTGAAGCTCTTTACAGTCTCCGAGGCCACTCCGGTTTTCGTGGTGTCCAAGATCAAGTGAGGTGTCTGTTTCATTTCAATGCTAGCAGCATATTTATTGCAAACTTGGAATTGGAATGATGGATATAATAAAAAGGCTTCAACAAGGACACTCCCTGATAACTCACTTGTTTCCAGCAGGACCTTGGCATCTGTTTTGTTGGCTTCTATAGAATCCAACTGTACCGAAAGTCCATATCGTATATTTTTCTTCAAGTACGTGAGTGCCACATCCACCGCCTTGGCCGCCGGCTCGTTATCCACTTCGTTAATAAACACTGTACCATAGAATTGTTTTGGTCAGAACCCATGAAAAAGGACGAAGGCATTACGTGGCGGAACTTTTGTTTACTTGTACTTGGACGAGTGCTCATTACGCCTTAGGTCCCTTTCCTAATCTAAGTGACCATCAGGTCTATTGAGAGTTTTTACTTGATTAGTTACCTAAAGTGCAGTCTAGAAAACCTGAACCTTAAAACGATCGATTAAAAACTGTACTCTAAATAGGAAAGTGAATGTTTTCAAAAATTCCGACCGACTTATAAAAGTAAGGCTTTTTAAAAAAGTCATAATTCTCTAAGATTGAGTAATTTAAGGAAGCGTTCCGGAAGGGTTATGGAAATCATAAAAAAAAGGATAGAAATGTAAATTCTATCTTTTTTGGAATTCAGTAAAAAAAATATAGGTTTTTAAGTTACATTAGTTTAGTCCTTGGATCAAAAAACACTCTGGATATTTCCGAATCTTTCTGGCACTTACAGACATTAATATTCTGAGTAGTTTGTGCGGCGATCTCTAAGTTGAAGCCGCAAAGGATCGCCACAAATGCAATCAACCAGAGATAATTGCATGATTTTTGAAAAGGACTGCGCATTATGGATAGCACATATAGGATACTTTTCCGGATTTATGAAGGTCACGTTACTGCACTCCACGAACAATAAATTGCGACTGAGCTGGAATTACGGTTTCAAATGCAAACCGCCCGCAACTCCACTGTCGATTTCACTTTCAACACGGACTATGTGTGGACACATGTGGGTAACCTTGGTGATAATCAATTTGGTAGGTAATCGTCCACAAACCCACTCTGTGCGTGGTGCCAACAAGCCCTCTTCCCCCCTAAAAGGAAAGCCATCTAACCTGACCACATATCCTGCTTCGATTGTTCGTGACGGAACGTAAACGCTAATTGATGTTGGTTCTGGAAGTGGAGTGGAGTGGCGTGGTTAGTGGGTGAGTTATTATGTTATGAGGTATTGAAGACCTATTAATATTGTCACATAAACATGATTATTGGGACCGGCGAGTGCGAACGTTAGAGGTGGGTATGTAATGTGTAATAATTTGGTCAATTTTGGTTTCGAGTGGACCTTTAATTTGGTAACTGAATTGAAGGATTCGAAGTTTGTATACCCTAACAGACTATATAAGAAGTGATTTATAAGATTTATAATCTCTTTTGATTATAGTTTAGTTTAATAAAGCTTCTTGTCTGATTAATTCTGACTCACACCTTTTTTAATCAGCCCCAGACCAATGAAAGATAACGATTCATGGATCGGTTTCTTTATGAAAGACAACAACACATTTAGACGAAAATACAAAACTATTTTTATTTTGATTAATTAATTATACACTTATTGAACTTTACGCCCGACGTAATTTGAAATGTAGAGTATGAACCCTACGAGCAAAAAATCAAAGAGAAAAACGCCGCCTAAAATAAACATCTAAACGATTATGCAGCTGTTGCGCGAGCCGCATTTGAACATATACGTTTCCTAGTATATATATGTATATATAGTCGTGGCGGTGGCGGTGTCGACTAGCGAACATTGTCATTATGCGTAGATCTAGAGTTATCTTTAACTTACACAGTTCACGATGGTTAGAAACGTAAATGATACGTACATTACACGATTGAATTATATATATATATGTATGTATGTATATATATAGCTAGAGCCTACATTGAGTGTATAAGCACAAATCTCACAAATTCCAGTCGTCTGGCCCCGTCTCCTGCCGTATCACGGGCGGAGTTAGGGGCGCTTTTGGTGCTCCTGGCACAGGTGTGGGCACCAGCGGTGCGGCTCCGCGCAAGGAGTTCCCGTAGTAAGGCGGCGGCCGATGGCTGCTGATGCTCGGCGAGGTCGAGCTATGCGTTGATGAGGCGGAGGAATCGCGCACCCGTCCCGCATCGAATACCGGCGCCTGGGCATATCGATGCGAGCCCAGCTGCGGAGTATGCGATCTTGAATGGGATCGATCCCGTCGCATTTGTTGCTCCTGCTGCATGCGCTGCTGCTGGAGATATTGCTGTTTACGCTGCTTCAACAGCTGCTCCTCCTTCTGAAGCTGTCGCTGGCGTTGCTGCAGCTCATATTGCTGCCGTTGCATTGCACTTAAACGATTGGCCTTGCTCCACGGATTGCCACCGAAGCAAAGGTTTGATATGAAGACCACCGGGGAGAAGAGACGCAGCGAGACCTCACTGGGCGAAGAAAAAAAAATGGTCAGTTATTTATAGTCCAGAGTACAGTAGAATAGCTTTAAGTCGGAACAAAGAAATTTCTTTTGACAAAGTATTCGTACTCGAATAGGGGCATGAGCTTTAAAATATTAAAATAGTTTCCAAGTGTTGATGAACAAAATATTTATAGAATTTAAAATCTTTGTCGACAAGATAATTTGTTTTTGAGAAGTTTGACTGCATTACATAAACCAAACACTTACGTGGTGTCCACAATGGGCTTCGCCTCATTGCCGCTGAGTATGAATAGCGGAAAGAAAATGGAGAAGATGCAGCTGCTGACAATCACTGAGCTGGACAGGTTCGTCAGCACTGTCAGCGGGATGCCGAATCCGAAAAAATACGGCCAGTTCTTTTCAATGTAGGTTAGCCGACGATGCAGCTCCCAACCCATGTTGAACCACTTGTACTCAAAAGAGTACAGCGAATATAGAAGGCACAGGTGGACGAAGCAGAGCGAGGAACCCACATATCTAACTGGCACCAGGTTGACCAGCATACTCTGCACCAGGAACAGTACTTGAACTACCATGCTGAAAAGGAAGTCTGCCACCAGCTTGCTGATTCCGGGTATGAGCTGCGGACGACCCTTGCGAACCCTATAGGCGGCATTGGCAATGTCTGCGAACCACAGTGAGCTGACAATTTTCGACAGCATAAAGATTGGCAGCACCCACATCATGCCAAAGAGCAGCGACAGAATAGGATGTAGCCAGCCCCAAACTACAGGCAAAGTCTCTGACTGGGCTCCGTAAAAAATGGTGAGGCAGAACTTCAGAGCGGGCAGCAGGGCTGACTCAAACAGGACTATGCTCAGCCAGGTGAAGCCGCCGTTCAGCATGCAGCACTTGAACAGCTTCTTGGCTATCTTCTTTTCGCTGCAACAAGTGTGTAATAAATAAATTAGTCACAGATAGGCATCATAATTAATGGGACACATACCCCTGCGGGTGTGGCTCCTTGGCGGCGGGTTTCTTGTTGAGCATCTTCTGTAAACTGCGCTCATCGGAGTTCTCCTCTGCTCGCTTGGCGTATTCTTCCCTAATCATGGCAGCCGCCGAGCTGGGTACAGGCGATGGGGACCTCTTGGCCCTCTCGTAGCGATCCTTCTGCCGCAGTTCGAGCTCAGCATTCTGTCTGTTGACCTCGTCGTCGATGTGCAGGACCAGGGTCATGCCACGTATGCTGTCCCACAGGCCATACATAATGCCCAGGGTGATGTTCTGCGATCATATTACAACGCATTAAGTCATTGTTGTTGTTCGCTCAGCAGGTACTCACCTTTATCGCCGCCATCTCGCGTCGCTAGTCAGTAGTTCCTTTTGTTGTCATCACGAAATGTGTACATGGAAGCATATGAAACGTGTTTAGCTACTCTAAGTCGCATTAAAACGTAGCAGAAAGTCTTTGAATAAATTTGCGTTGTGCGAAGACAACATTGTTGGAAACAACTGATTTTGGGCGCGTTTACACCGCCCACAATCCCTTCTGAGACCAGATATGGCACAGGCAGTGCCCTGGAACTGCCACTTACATACTTATTGCAGTGCCCCCAGCTTCTGATCCAGTTTCCTCCGCGCAGATCTTAAAAACATTGAACTTTGTGCTGCTTTCAATAATAATATGAATTGTTTTGATGGTGTAAACAGGCTGATGATTGGTACGGTTGCCACCTGATGCTAAGGCGACGTTTTCCAGCACTGCTCAAAACTATCGAATAAAAATAATTCCCTTGATAGTGCGGGAATGAAAATTTAAAATCTTTGGTTTTAGTTTGTTTTATTTCATTATAAACTTGGCTACAAGGCTTAAATAAGGCTAAACTTGATAATAAATTAAAGTTTATAATATATTAAGCTTGTTTTTTTAGATTTGAGTTCAAATTAAAGTTATTATAGATTGTTAAGATTTATATCTGATATAGTTGGTAATATAAATGAAAATTTAAATATTTAAAAATAATGAAAGACCTAATAGTTTGAACAATAAAAAATCTTGAAAATAAAAATGGGCTAGGGCTACATGTTAGCCTTGGTATATCGATAACAGTACATTTTTATTTTTCAGCCCTGCGGGTAATTGTCAGTTACAAATCGAACATTCTTCTCCTGTCCGGAGACGGAAAAATACCGTGAGTTCCAAAACTTTATATATAATTCAAACCAAGCCGCTTTTCTTGTTATATATTAGGTTATAAGAAATAGTTCCTTGTTTTGAAAGTAAATATCTAAGAAATTAAACGTTTCTTCGATTTGTAAGCAACATCCGTCACAACTATTTGTTTAAAAGTCAAGTGTAAATAATGCAAAATAAGACCGTGGACTTGTGATTAATTTGAATGACGTTAACTTTTACCTATGATAACGATGGGGTATTTGATTTCTAGCCGAGTTAATACGTACGTTTTGCATATAGAACTTACATAGAAATGGTTGATTCTCTTATGTGTGTGTATCAATAAGCAAACAACGTAAATAAGCCCTAAATCAGGTGTCAGGCCACGTTAAAGCCGAAACACACTGCATGCGCTTAATTGATTAACTATCTACCGTTAGTAAACAAATGAGCAACAAGATCTGACTTGTTTACATAGATACATACATACATACACACATACCATCCCATACCTGACAGTGTGTGTGTGTGTATGCGTGAAGATAATTTCCGGAATGCAATTTTAAAACGTAGCTTTATTGCAGATAACCATCAACCTCCCCCACCCAAACGACCATCCATCGTCTCCATCTGTGGGAATAATCAATACCCACATACATACAGCAGGTCCAGCAACAGCAACAACAACAACAAAAACTGCGATATGGTGTGGTCTAGTGATAAGCAACAACAGTAGGGCCACAGCCCAGCACCCTATCCGTCGACCACCGCCCACCGCCCTCACCAACTGGAGGAGAAGCATTCCAGGGAACGAGTTACAAAAAGCAATTACCATCCCACAACTCAAATTTCCTGTCATTCCTGTCACCTTGTCACCGGGCGCGAACGATGTCACGCGAGGAACGCAAACCCATTGTCGACACCTCGAACAGTAGTAGCTGCAGCAGCGGCGACGAGGAGGTGCATCCCGTGGTGCGACGTCGCAGTGCCAAGGACACGGAACTGGCATGTCCACCCAAGGATCCAGGATGCTGCGACCCCACAAGCACTCCGCATCGCTTTCTGGCACTGTTGTTTATGTGCCTCCTGGGATTTGGTGAGATTTCATCATAGAAGATTCCTTAAATACTTGGCTTTTATCTTAAAATTAGAAAAATAATCTTGATAGGAGATTTTGAAGGATATTTCTTATAAATAGACTCGACTTTTATCTTAAATTGTACTATTATATAGATTCTTATAATTGAGAACGGTATATATTATTTAAAAACCTTGTTCCACAAATATTTGTAGATAACAAATTGTCACTAAATACTAGAATTAAATAAACATATATGTGTTTATAGTAGAAACTTTATACAGAAGCCCTCTTTGTGTTTTACACAAATGAATACTAGGCTCTATATTTAACAAAAGAAATCCTTTTTTTTTCGAGATAAGATAAGGAAAAAATGGAACTATCTATGCCAAAAATTTATAGATAAAAACCAAAATATTTACCTATAATGACATTAAATATATAAACCATATTTTTAGGTTCCTATTTTTGCTACGACAATCCTGGAGCGCTGCAGGATGTATTCCAAAAGGAGCTCGATCTGAATTCCACCGAGTTTACACTGATATACTCCATCTATTCATGGCCAAATATTGTCCTGTGCTTTGTGGGAGGATTCCTGATCGATCGGGTCTTCGGCATCCGCCTGGGAACCATCATCTACATGCTGATTGTGTTGGTTGGCCAGCTGATCTTTGCCACTGGCGGAGTCCTGGGCCACTTCTGGCTGATGATCGTGGGGCGATTTGTGTTCGGCATTGGGGCTGAGTCGCTGGCTGTGGCCCAAAACAGCTATGCGGTGTTGTGGTTCAAGGGCAAGGAGCTGAACATGGTCTTTGGACTCCAGTTGTCGGTGGCACGCTTCGGCAGTACCGTCAACTTCTGGATAATGCAACCTCTCTATGGTTACGTCTCGAAAACGTACTCTGGCTATACCGGTCTGGGAGTAGCTCTATTCCTGGCCTCCTCCACTTGCGTTATGTCGTTGCTGTGCACCTTGATTCTAGGTAGGATTCATTAAAGGATTACATCTTGGATTTTATTATAATCTTCTATATCTGCAGGCTGGATGGACAAACGAGCGGAGCGAATTCTAAAGCGAAACAACAATCCTGGCGGGGAGATTGCCAAGCTGAGTGACATTGTAACTTTTAAGCTGGACTTCTGGATGGTGTCGGTGGTTTGTGTCGCCTATTACGTGGCCATATTTCCATTTGTGGCGTTAGGGCAGTCCTTCTTCGTCAACCATTTCCACATGACCCCCGACGAAGCCAACACCGTCAATTCAATTGTCTACCTGATCTCGGCAATAGCATCTCCAGTGTTTGGTTTCGTGATCGACAAGGTGGGCAGGAATGTGACTTGGGTATTCTGCGCCACCATATCCACGCTGCTGGCCCACTTTCTGCTGACCTTCACACACCTGGATCCCTACATCGGCATGAGCATCATGGGCCTTTCCTACTCGATGCTGGCAGCTAGCCTATGGCCTCTGGTGTCGCTTATTGTGCCCGAATATCAACTGGGCACAGCTTATGGCTTGTAAGTGGCTTAAGGACATAAATTTTAGCAGATTTTTAAATAAATTTCCATTTCAGTTGCCAGTCTGTGCAGAACCTGGGACTAGCAGTGGTCACCGTGGTGGCAGGAATGATAGTGGACAGCAGCGGAGGCAGTCATTTCTGGCTGCAGATCTTCTTCATGTTCTTCCTGCTGAGTAAGTGGGACTGTAATGGAAGTATCCTACATCATTTAAACTATTTAATATATTGTTTCAGTCTCCTTGCTGGCTACGTGCGCCATATGGGCCTACAATCGGAAGCACCAGGGCAACCTGAACATGTCCCCTGCCCAACGGTCCACATACCACACCTCGATGTATGTGAATATTGAGTCAAGTTGATCTGCTTGAGCATGCTATTATTGATGTCTTGGTGTTGTGTATTTATCCCCATTCCTGACCCAGACACTGACTAATTATCATTCTCTTTTTAACGCAAAAGCTCAATGCAGAGCCCATTCGTGGATCGACGGCCTCTTTTGGGCAGCCAAGTACACTGAACAAAAATGAAACCAATATGAAACTATTTACCAATTGTGATGTTAACGCCATCTCTTTGAACTTGACTTGTTATTCAACTTGGAGCACATACTTCTAGTCGCACATTCGTCGTGGTCGTGGTTCAATCGGTTAAACCCCTAGCCAATATTCTATATACATATCAAATCTTTAATTATTGTTGTATTTACGGTTTTGTTGTATATATGTTGAATATATATTGTTCTAAAAGTACATTCACCAAACTAAATAATACTAAAGAGTTTTATTTGTTTTTTGGGGAAAAGGTTATACGAAAAAAAGAAAAAATCGTTTTTGATCTTGATTCCATTTTTTATTATTCCTTGCGAATATATTTTTGAAGAATATATGATTTATATTTTTTTTTTTTACAAAATAAATTAAATAAATTAACTAAATCATAAACAGAAATTCAAAGAATTTTGGTGTTGTTTTCGTTTGTTGTTACCTTCTCACATTGTATCGAAATAAAATTTTATAAAAAAAACGTAGTATTGATGCATAGACTAGAGAAAACAAAAATACAATTGAAAATCTTGAAAATGATATTCTCAGAGCAAGTTTAAAAAAGAAATCTAAATAATAAAAACACACATGAATTAATACATTTTCTTTTCCGTTTTTGAGAATTGTTTGGTCGTTTGGTTTGTGGGGCGAAACAATATTTTTTTAAGAAACATGAGAAACTAATTTCAAATAAAAAAAATGTTTCAATCTCTATTGAGTTATTTAAAATGCATTTCATTTCATTCAGGCCACTTCAGTTTGGGCCGCTTCGCAACAATTGCTTCGAGCCTGGTCAGATAGCTGCATTTTTGTATAAAAAATTAGTAATATTGGGAACTTTTATTCCCATTTCGCTTGAACTTAACTAAGAGCTTCGTTGAATTTTCTAGTTCATTTGAAAGATTTTTGATTGTTTGTCGTTTCTAATTTCTAGTGTTAGTTTTACCATTGAGTTTACTCAATTATTTTTTTTTTTTTTCAAAAAATTTAATTATTTTGATTTGTTTTTTTGGTCGTTTTGTTTTTTGCGTTTGTTAGGTGGTGAAGCTAGTGCTAAAAGCATTGAAGGATGGATGAACTGAGTTTCCTTACGCCGAACATTGATAATGTATCTATATTGTCAGGGTGGAACACCCAGCGGGCTCAGTTACTCATCCAGGGTCTCTGCTTCGTCAGCTGCCACAATGTCTCGCTTGGTAGCACTCTTAATGCTAGCCAAATACTTGTCACCATCGAAGCGTTGGCTCTCATCCTGCAGTTCCTGGTGGCAAACCAAAAAGAATTAACACTATTAATCATATATTCATAAACAGAATAAGATCTTAAAAGATATCTAGCTTACCTTGGGACAAACATATATATGTACATGTGAAACAGTTTAATGCCTAAGTTCGTATCATGAGCGTGCTTGGGGTGAGTAAGCCAATCAATATTATACACAATTTACAATGCAATGTCAGTTAAACCCAGCCAAGCTTTGTTTCGGACTTTCAAAGCCCTTTTTTCATGTTTATTGGAATCGTATGTAAATCGAATTGAGTATTAGGGGGAGTAAAACGCTTACAACTAGGTTTGTTACATTCATCCCAAATATTGCTTGTATTATTACAGCTCTTACAAGTCTTATTTAAGAATTAATTACAGCTTCGGTAATGTGGTTGTGCATATTCGAGAGTGTTTTTGTGGGTTATGTTAGTAAGTATTATAATAGAACTGCTTAAACGCGGCTCGGTTAACTCCTATGAAAGACTTAAATCTGTTTCACAGCCAAAACACAGATTATCCATTTCGGTTTATTTTGAATTTTTTTTTATCATTTACATGTCTAGGACTAGCAAATGGTTGCGCTTTTATGTTATTGTGTCGTTGGCATATCTATAGCTAAATGACTGGATGATATTCATAATGATATATCTTGAAAGTGCTTAGCTTTAGTCTAAAAGCTAACATTTTGGTTTCAGTTTCGCAAGCATCACTGGCAGGTTTTCAGATGAAGTAAAATAAAAAGTTAAGTAATACTGCATCGTATTTGAGATAATGTTAAGAATACTGCACTAGCAGTCTTTTAAGATAAACAAAAAATGAGGTATACTCGAGGTATTTCTCGAATGTTCGAAAAACAACATAAAAACAATAATATATGTCAGCCTTCTGTTGGCTTCAAATGGTCATGAGATGTACGTATTTCGAATACGTAATAATGATATAGAAAAACTTAAACATAGGATCTATTGTTATTGTTCAACTCTGGCAAATTATCGCACAAAGCCAAGGCGAACTCGTCGTCTTCGGTGTAGCGTTGGAAGATGGCCTTCACTTGCGACTGCTGACGATTCTTGCCCTGGCCACCTAGCGACCCTCCCATAGCATTGGTTATGATTTGCAACTGCTTATTGTACAGATTCCGATCGGATTCAGCCGATGGCTTGGGAGCCCGACGGACGTCGCGATCGGGTATTCCCCTTGATAGCTTGTTAGTTACGGTTAGGTCAATGATAGCATCACTTCCAGCGGCGGTTATGGTGGGTGTTGTGGTTGTGGATGTGTTACAAATACCGTCAGCTGTTGACGCATTAGGAATTGTTATTACTGTTGATGAGTTGGGTGCAATGGTGGTGGTAATGGATTCGAAGGGGTTCGATGAAGCAACGGAATGCTCGGGATCAACAGCCGGTCGAATTACCTTGTTACGCAGAATAGACGGAGTTTTTTCCTGCATTCTCTGCCAGTCGGTGGGCAGGGCCCAAGCATGTGGACCCTTCGAGAAGTAGATCAAGTGTTCAATATCGTAAGTAACGCGTGCTGCCAGAAAAGAAATTGTTTACAGATCATATTTTCAATTATTCCATTGTAGAATCTTACATGAGTTTGTCTTCAGGGAATTGTTGACGGCGAGTTCCTCGACCTCAAACTTTTCGCGAGCTGTCTTTGTCTCTGGCGTGGACTCCTTGCGTGAAAAGTGGCTGCGACGCGACCTGGCCAGCCCATTGCTAGCAGACGAGGTTGCTCCGTTGTTGGGCTCAAACACCTCGTCCTCAACGTCGCCGTTGTTGTTGGCCGAGGCGACGTAGTTCAGTCCAATGCCACTATCTGCCAGAGGCAGCATAAATTGCGGCGGCCCAGCGCCAGGAAGCGGAGTCGATGGGGTGGTTACCGGGCTCACCAATGAAGTTCCATCGAAGGCAGCGCCAGCCTCAATGGAAGCCAAAAACTCTGAGCTGCTGAAATAGTCATCCAGTACGAGCTTGGCCACCTAGAAAAATATTAAAGGAGCTTGCAAAGATTCTAGATATCATGGTTTGGAGCCAGCTATACTTACGCGCACTAGCTCACAGCAGTCACCGGTAATCTTGATCAGGTGCTGGCCCACGTTGACCGTGAACTTGTATTCACCTACGGAAGCATCGTTTGTGGAATATGAGTGCATTAACAGCTGCTGATTTGGTCGCAAAACTTTACCGGCAGCAGCCGTCGCCTGCGCCTGAGCCGCTGCTGCTGCCGCTGCGGCGGCCACTGCGGCAACCTGCTGTTGTTGCTGTTGATGGTGCTGCGAGATCTGCTGTGCAGCAGCCGTGGCAGTCATAAAATTCTGGGCCGAATTAAAGCTCAGCCGGTTGGCCAATCCACTGCCTCCCGGAGTCCTTGGCTGCACGACGGCGTCATCAGAATTGGAAGAGTTCAGTGAGGAGCAGGATCCACCGGCGGCTGGAGCGGGTTCCAGACGGACCGGGGATGCATTTCGTCTAATTGTATCCTCCATTAATTGTTTGGCGTAGCTGTTGAGAAATGAGATAATTTGTAAGTTTTTGTTTTTAGCGAAACATGTGCTTTTCCCACTCCAATGTGTGTATTGGCAGCGATTTCAGATAATCGATGGTATTACCAGATGTTTCTGACTATCGTTGCCAACTGGCTATCGTTTACAAGTTCATCTTAAAACTTACTTAATTTTATCTTCAGCTGGACCAGTGATCTGCACCAAACGCTCCTTGGCGCCAGGATTAACTAAACGATAAAAAATGAATTAAAATATGAAACATACTAGGTGCTTATTTTGACCTAAAACTTAAACTGTATTGACTTATGATTGTACATATATACAGATGCATTTTTGATTTTTGCGGAATATCGGTTATATGCAAATTTGATGGCCAAAACTTTGGTGAAACATGCGAATTTCGGTTTTTAGTAATTTTGGTGCAAGTAGCCAACGAATGATTGAAGCGTGCCAAATGGTTTTGGATGCAGTGGGTTTAATCTTAAAACCGACATTCGGTGGGTTACCTCTTTGAAACGATATTATTGTTTCGCTAAGTTCCTCGATCATGTGCACGCGGCGACCCTTGATACCCATGACTGTATGGCCATGGCATTTTTGGAATATACTTTTAAAGATCAGATGTCTTGGGGTCTCAGTCCGGAATACTTACCCTTGCCGGAGTCTGCGTTACGGATGACCACTTCATCCTTGCAATATGTCTTGCCGGGTATCTTGGTCGGCTTGATAAACTTGCCGGAGTTGCGAATGACCTCACCGGGTGGCAGCAGCAGATGCTGCTGGTTGGGTGTGCCGACGGCTGCAATGGCCGCTGCCTGGGCGGCGGCGGCTGCTGAGGCAACATTAAAAGCGGCAGCAGCGGCGGCGGCACCAACGTTAACTCCGCCAACGCCAACGCCGCCGCTGACGCCGAATGTGGGGGAGGTGCTAAGAAATCCGCCAGGCTGTCCGCCGGCATCGTACGGATACGGTTCCGCTGGAAGCTACAAAAATATTGTTTAATAAAAGCTCCAACAGTAATGGATGGATGTACCCACCTCTACGTTAGAGACTTGCTGCTTGGACTTGTAGTAAGCAATTGTGTCGTCATGCTCCCAGCTCTTGGCGCGCAGCTCAATTAGCTCGAGGAGTTTAAGGCGTGTCGTTATGTTAAGGCGTTCGTCCTGCGAAGCGTTGCGAAACACGACGAAGGCCCGATCGAGCGTATCCTTGGACAGGGCCTCTAGCTGCGGCCCGTGGACTCGAAGGTTGTGCAAGAGTAGCGTAATCGAGTCCGGTGTGGTGTTGCAAGACTGCAAACCGACAGTGACATTGTCAATCAACTGAATCAGCTCCTCAATCACCAGGTAGCTGTTTTTAAGCGACGAGCGCGACTGTGTCTTTAGTGGGCGTGGCGCCTCAATGTTTTTCACGGCGCGTCCCAGATGTGTGTGAGCCATTTTTTCGATGGGATTCGTCTAGACTCGATTCTGTCTCTCTGCTGATGTGAAAGGGTTTTAGCCTGTCGTCCGATTCCGATGCGCTGAGATCAGCTGATGTATGGTTATTGGTTCGTTCGTTAAGATGAGTTTGAAAAACTGGTGAAAAGAAGTCGTTGAAGCGTTTTTCTGCACCTCCCCCTGAAAGAAAGAGTATCATATTAGTGGAAATTAATTCTTGTTAAGGGGGTAAACTTATTAGAATATTTTTGGGCGAATTCTAAGCTAGCATGACCTTGTTTCTGGCTAGAAATACCTAAGTTCATATTTGAATACTGCGACGTAACCAAGTGGATATCTTTGGACCTAATGATGTGCTCCTTTGATAAGCAGGTTTACCTGATAACACAATGAAGATTTATCTATAGTTTAAGTGGACTCCGTAACCGGAGGCTTAACCCATTGAGTCACTCCAGACAGTAACACAATCGGTGTCGATAATTGCGAACAGATTTCCAAAAAGAAATAAATAAATAATGAATGAAAACAGTTTGCATAAATGGGAACACCAAACGGAAGACCATTTGTGCGACGGCTGCTACTAATGGTTGTTGGTGCTTTTTGGATTTAGTCAGACTTTCGCTCCATGCACCACAGATTTTTTTTAAATATCACTTACAACCACAAACAGCAACAACTTTTAGAATTATTACAAAAAACCGAGAGGAGGAGGAAAAGAGAGGGTGAGAGGCAAGAGCGATCATTCTCACTTGTTCCTCCTATTGAATCATATGTCGAGAATAGCAACAAAAAAACGGCGGCCGAATTTTTTGGGCGTTTGACAACCAAAATTCTTGATATCCCCGACCCCTGATGGGATTTAACTATTTATTACTAACTTTTTATTAATAAGGGCACTTGGCTAATAGCACTCGGTGAAATTGGGTAATATTTTGGTTTTCAGTGGCATGGGGCACAATCGACAGAAAGATGAAACTACGCGTTGGCTGCGCTGCGCCCGACGTTGTACTTGGCGGAAGGCCTACACTTTTCCAGCGTCCTATACTAGTTACTTGGGGGCTAACACCCGATGCTACGATTCGAAGCTAGTATGAGACTATGATTTGATCCGTATAATTAGATTCAGAACAAATTTTAAGACATGAGAAGCTTACCAATTTCTAGCAAATTTTTTGGGTGACCGTTTGATAACGATAACTTGTATCGATTCATTGTATACTTTTTACGTTCCTTCGTTTTCCCCAAAACACCCTGTGTTCTAAAACAACAAATTCGGTTAATAATACAATAATTGATCACAATAATGGCAAGTAAGTGGAATAAGATTTTTATTTTTCCCTATTTTGGATTACCAAATTGTTTAATCTTAATAATGGCAAATGTAAATCTTATTTTGTAGAATTTATGTATTTACAATAAAATCCTAATAATGTTTAAGCTTTGGCAACTTTGTATTCCGTGAATATCTTTAAAACTATCTTCAATTAGAAACTATTAAACCTTACACAAAAGTTTTTCATCAAAAAATGATTCTGATTTTCAAATTTTTATTCTTCCTAACAAAGTAGTCTAAAAATATCGATAACATTCAAATATCTATATCTTATTTGAGGGATGTTGAGCAGGCCCAAAATTCTCCCATCTCCAATCGAATCTTGAATAAAAAAATAGGAAAATTTTATTTTTCCAAATTTCCATCCATTTTGAGCTGTTCCGTTGGAATGTCTGAGAACGAGGTATTGGAAGATGCTCCAGCGGAGCCTAACGCCGGCAATGATGAATCTACCAAGGAGGAAGAAGGAAAGCCGAAAATGTCTTTCGCCGATTGGAAAAAGTGCAAAGAAGCCCTCAAACCGGATTCAAAAATTGGGCAAAAACGTAACAATAGTATAAATAATAATAATAACAACGGAAATAACAACGGTCGCAAGCAATGGCCACGCAACGACAACACACAATTTCAACGCAATAACAACTACAACCAGGACTGCAATTATCAGCCGTTGAGCCGACCACCACCTCTACCCATGCAGCTGGCTATGGGCTTCGACAATAACTTTGGTCCGGGTCCAGGTCCGTGTGGTCCGCCCTTTGGAGGACCTTTTGGGCCAATGGGACCAAATGGGCCGAATGGACCCTGTGGGCCAATGGGACCGTTTGGCCCAGGTCCCATGGGGCCGGGTGGACCGTGCGGCCCTATGGGACCGATGGGTCCTGGAAACTTTGGTCCGGGACCTCGAAATAACTGCAACCGACCGCTGGAGCCGCCACCGTTTTGGGATGACATGATGGCTCCACAACAACGACAACCACCTATACAGCCCCCAATGCCGAAGTGCCCAAGTCTTTGGAATCTGGTGCCTAAGGATCGCGGTCAGCAACGTCAGAATCGCGGCAATCAACAAAACCAAAATAACAACAACAAAAAGTTCAAACACAACAACCGCGGAGGCAACAAGGAGGATTCCAATCTGATGCCTCCTCCACCGCCGCCGAATGACGGTACAAGCAACAACCAGCAGGGATCGAACGGATCGCAACCATCGAAGAAGCCAAAGCGAAGTGGAGCATTTGTGCAAATTAACGGACAATGGATTCAGAAACCGGAAGCACCGCTTCCACTAGATGAAGCACCTCCAGGTACTAAGGAAGAACGCCAGCGCCAGTGGAAGGAGTATCGTCAAGCGATGAAGCCTTTCAAGAATCGTGAGTTTCACAACCAGAAGCGTACTGTGCAGCGTTTGGGAAAGCTTCCACGTGATCAGCTTGACGAGATTCAGCTGGAACGCTTGCAGAAGGCCGAAGAGTATATCGGAGCCCATAAGGCCATGCTGACTATTAAACATGCAGAACGCTGGGTCCAACAGGAAGATGGACCAAAAGTTAGCGATACTTTCAAGGGTCAAGTTTACGTACGCAAATCTGCCAATACAGGAAGCTATTGGGACAAGACGAAAATGGGCCCGAACACCAGCAATGGCTTTGATCCCAAGCAACCTTTCTTCAGTTCCGGACGTCCTATCACTGGCGGTGCAGAAGCCATTGCCGCCAACATAGCATCGCTCCCGCCACCACCACCGCCACCTGACACACCTCCATCAAATGAAGGAAATAATAGCGGCTGGTCCACTGGAACTGCCACTACTACCAGTGCCAACACTGGTTCGAATTGCAATCCTTCGTACTACAGTCATTACAGCAACACTTTTGTTAAAGGAAACACGCTACTGCCCCCCTAGGATTTCCCGTTGACGCTGAATCTTGGCGTGGGATTTGATTAGTTGTAACTTTCCGGCAAGCGTGGAAGCTCCCAATACCTTACGAGTCTGCAATAAATTAATTCTTTGACAACATCGGCATGTATTCAAATAAATGTAACAAATTCTGCACTTAGAGCTACTTTTTGGGTTTCCGACTGCGACGAGGTTGGGATTCATCCAGGGGCGGCAGACCTAGGAGCTGGCGACGCTCTCGCTTACCGCGCAGAATGGCCTCCTTAAAGAGGTTGCAGTAGAGCTCCACCGCCGCCGGGGTGTCATCGTTCCCAGGCACTGGATAGGTGATGAGGTTTGGATTACAATTACTATCCACAATACCGATCGTAGGAATGGCCATCTTCGCGGCATCTCGCACAGCCGTGTGCTGGGCCATTACGTTGTTTTGTGTATTGAGGAATATACAAAGATCCGGAAGCCGAGTGACTGCATCGAACTGAACGTTGGCGTTGGTGAAGATGCCGCCGCGCCAGAAGCGCGTGTGTGAGAATTCACCGGCTTCCTGAGCCTTCTGCTCAACGAGGTGCGCGTTCAAAGCATTTCGGTTAAAGAACAGAATAATTCCATCTCGGAAGGCGATGTGAGCGGCAAAGTTCAGGGCATCCCGCAAGTGCGACGCCGTCTTGTCCAAATCGAAAATAAGATGTCCGAGCCGGCTGCCAAAAAGATAGGGACGCATTCGGTCGTCCAGGGAGCCCTCTTTGTGGCCATAGTGCACACGGGCGTTGAAAAGGTCGCGCACGGTAAATAAATTGTGGACCTGGAAGTAGTCCGGATGCTTCAATATGCGCTGCTCGATCACGGCAATGTCCTCCGGCTCTGTTTCTGGGGATTGCTCCGGTTGTGTGCTCTGCAGTCTTCGCGACAGACCCGAAAGTTGGCCAAAACGCGGCACCACTGTTTTAGAACAAAAATTAATGGGTTTTGTTAAAGTTTTTATTGATTACTTACGGTTATTAAGCGATTTTCTTAACATTTTGGAACGCTCGTGTTTTCATAACCTTTTCTCTTCTTCTTCTTATCTTTTTTTTAAACAGCTGGTGGCAGTGTTGAGTAATGACAACAAAACATACTTAAAAATTATTAAAAGATATTAAAATGTTAAAGTTTATTCAATACAAATATTAAGTACATATTTTTCTGTTATTACCTTAATGATATTATCAAATAATTGATTTTTTTTTTATATATTTAATCTTTTTGAGAATACCCCATCATATGTTTCTCGAACAGTGCTCGAAAAATCGAGTCAGCTGGAACCTTTCACTTGAGTTGTAAACTTTAATTTTTTGCTTAATATTTGCAATGCTAAGGCGGCCGAAATAAACATACAAGTCGAAATGGAAATAGACAGATCACTTAGCGTGGACACCAATTCCACCTGCGAGTTCCTGGACGCGGAGGGCGATTCGGAAAATAACGATTCGGAAGCCAACTTCTATCAGGAGGCGGATCACGACCAAGAGGCGGAACTGCAGAATCATAGTATTATTTCCGAATTACGTACTGGTCTGGATGCGCAAAATAGTACAGCTCTAAGCCCGGAGCCGGGGCAATCGAAGCAGTTGGCCGCCAGTTCCGAATCGTTGGCTTTGAGCACCTCGACCAGCGCCAAGACCGAGGATTCCAACAGTGCCCTGGACGATGACCACGACTACCTACATGACAGTGTGTGGCGAGGACAAAAAAAACACATTTTTATCCTTAGTGAGGCCGGAAAGCCCATATTTTCGTTGCACGGAAAGGAGGACAAGTTAGCGGCACTGTTCGGAGTGATCCAGGCCCTGGTTAGTTTCGTCCAGCTTAGTCAGGATGCAATTACGTCCATTCATGCTGGTGGCGTCAAGATCGCCTTCATGCATCGCGGTTCGCTTATTCTGGTTGCTGCTAGTAGAAGCAACATGAGTTTGCAGCAGCTTCAACTCCAATTGAGGCAAGTAACTAACTATAACCTATGAATAATACTGACTGATAAGTCTTTTCTTTACTTTCGCAGTGATGTGTACAATCAAATACTTTCCATTCTGACATACTCAGAAATGACAAAGAATTTTGAGAAGCGAAAGAACTTGGATTTGAGGAGACTGCTCTATGGGAGTGAACGTTTGTTCTACAATCTACTGGCAAATGATGGCTGTAGTACCAAAGGTAATACCAAAGTTCTAAATGTTTTTAAAGTCAAGATAATTACTCTATTTATCGTCTTTAGTTTCGAACAACGTCTTTACATTTCTGACCAATTCCATACGCGTCTTCCCATTGCCGACATCGGTACGGTCGCAAATCACCAGCAGCATTCAGAGTATTTGCTCAAAAATCAATAATCTGGTCTTTGCTGTACTAATAGCTAATAACAAACTGATTTCTCTGGTGCGACTGAAGAATCAGTTGATTCATCCAGCCGATCTGAGGCTGATTTTCAACCTAGTGGAGTGCTCCGAGTCGTTCAAGAGCTCAGAGAACTGGTCCCCCATCTGTCTTCCTAGGTTTGACAAGAAGGGCTTTCTGCACGCGTATGTCTCCTATCTGGCGGATGATTGCCAGGCATGTTTGCTATTGCTGTCCATCGATCGGAATGGTTTCTTTGAGCTCAAAGATGCCAAAGTTAAGATCACGGAAAAGCTGAAAAAGAACCACTGTCTGGAGGCTGTTAATGAGGAACTCAAGCAACCCTTCAACGTGAAACTGTATCAGCAGGTTGTGGGAATCCCTGAGTTGCGGCATTTCTTGTACAAGCCGAAAAGCACGGCTCAGCTACTGTGTCCCATGCTGAGGCATCCATACAAATCCCTGGCGGAGTTGGACCGCCTGGAGGCCATTTACTGTGATTTGCTACATCGCATTCACAACAGCGTCCGGCCCCTGAAGCTCATCTACGAGGTTAAGGAAAGCGAAGTGGTGCTAGCCTGGGCCACCGGCACCTACGAACTCTACGCAGTTTTCGAACCGGTCGTCGACAAGGCAACGGTGATAAAATACGTTGATAAGCTGATCAAGTGGATCGAAAAGGATTACGATGTTTACTTTATAAGGAATCACGCCACTTTCTGATCCGTCACGGGCGGCATTTGTAGGGAACTGTGAGATATATGACTATTTTTATATTATACTTCTGCCAACGAAACTGTTAACCCCAATTGAGGACAAAGCTGTTGTTGTGTTGCAGTTGTGACGGCTTATATTTAACTGATCCTTGTATACCATAAATACGCATGTAAATTTGTATTTAAGCCTCTAAGTAAATTCTCTAAAAAAAAACAAAAAGGTTTTTTTTATTATTAATTATAAAGTGTTATGAAAAAGTATAAAATTTCCATTTAAAATTTAAATTTGTACAAGTATCCTTAAAACGATAAGTCTTACTATCGATAACCTAAGTCCAGAAAGCTTAAGCTCTCTCTCAAAGTTAAGAGAGTGGTTCACTGAGAGAGCTTTTGAAAATCAACATTCTCTAACGCGCGCATCGGAAACACAATGGCAGGATTACGGTGTGAAGGTGCTCTAAGGATACGGAGAACACAATTGAGTAAAGGACACAAGCGCGAACGCACACGCTTCGTTTTTGAGGCGCCGTTGCCACAGGGGAAACCAAGTTTTGACCAGTGCCTAACCAACAAGAAAAAAAAAGGAGGAAAAGAAATTGTAAAAAAAAAATATCCTGAATCCGTGAAGTATGTGAAAAAAATTGTGTAAAATCCCGTGGTTACGCAGCCAAAGGCGAAGAAAAATATCGAACGTAACCGGAGTTTTTTTTGAGCTTACAAAAAGAAAAAGGAGCAGCCTTTTCAACATGCGCCACGCATTTTTTGGGTGTTAAATGCTCGTGTATCTGTCGGTTTTTGCGCGCTTAGCTCTGTGGCGGCATTAATACACACTCACACCGACACATCGACATACACACACACACAGCCATAATAAAGCGCACGCATACAGGCACGCACGAAAGCCGAAATCCTGCCAGGATATGCCTGAGTGTATGTGACGCCGCTCCGTTAGTTTTGCGCGCGTGGTGGCCATCCCGCTTTTGGTGTGCAAATCGTTTAATTTATGGGCAAAATATATATTTTTATACGCAATTCTCGTGCAATCCCGCCTCGTTTTCGTTGTCGTTGTCGATTCGTTTCGTTTTTGATTCGGTTTGCCATTTCGTCGTTAATTTGTCGTTCCCTTTTTTTAGCCAAATTCGTACACCCGAATTATCAACAACAAGGATTTCCGTTCCTGCCAGCAGGCCAAAGTTTCACCTTTCACACACACACATACATAAATACTTCCACGTAACAGGCGGCACACACACACACATACAAACGTAGACACTCACACGCATTCGGGGCCACAGGATGTCTTTTTGTGTATCCTAGAGTTATTTTGAAAGCGTGCTTTATAGAAGCCAGGAGCAAAAAAAAAAAAATCCGCCGAGGAGCAACAAAACAAAGAAGAATAGGGGAAGCAAGGATATGAAAGGATGAGGTGCGTGCGAGAACGGCAAAGGAATCTATTTAATGTGAAAAAAGTTTCAGAGTCATGGATTTTTTTTCACTTTAATAAACTTTATAGAGTTTGTCATTTTAATTTTAAAATTGGTTCTGATATTTTAAATTTATTAATAAAATTAAACAAAATCTGCTTCCTTAATGGTTGAAAATAGTAAGAAAGATTTTTTAAAAAAGTATTTGGGTAACTCAGCTTAGTATTTTTCTAAAAAAACCAAAGTTAGAGTAGTTCTTCAATAAATCAGCCAAGATTTCTGGAGATTTCTGAAAGAAAAATGTTTTTCTTGAAAGTTTTGTTTAATCCTGAAACTTTTTATTGCATACTTTGTGGGGTTGCTTCCTCGTATTGACTAAGCCAAGAATGCTACTTTAAAGTTACTTGGAACTAAAGCACAAAAATTCATATATTTTTGAAATAGCTATCAAGAAATAGAAGAGATCTAAGAGATCCTTGTGTACTGACCACTTGCAAATGAATCAAAAACTTAAAACGAAAACAAATTCAAGTTCAAATATCAATACGAAAAATCAACCAATAAAAATATCAAAATAATGTGGCGTATAATTTAATTCTACCAGCCAAAACAACTACTACTAGCACGGAATAAACCCTCTGGTTTAAGCCCGCGATAAAAGCAACTCACCCAACTCAGCCAACTGCAACCAACCCAGCTAACCCGGTTACAAACGAGACAAAATCAACAACAATTTTTGGAATTAATTTTATTTGATGCGCGCGCTCATAAAAATTTACATAGAAAGCAGCACCACCAAAAGAAATACAAAAAAAAAAAGAATTCAAAAAATAAATAGACCCCTCCGCTCATGCCAGAAGCAGCATCAACGAGAGGAGCGACAAAAGTGAATTGGTTAACCATGGAAAAGGCGTAACTGGCAACTGCTGACCCAGGCCATATAACTTTAGGTTAGTATGTCCTCGCTGTCTTACTGACTTCGGACCCTTGGATGGGGGGCAGGCTTTTGGCTTTGGCTTTGCTTTTGCCGCCTTCGCTTAAGCTTCCTTTTTCCTTCATTTTTTTTGTGCGTTTTCTCATTTTGTTTGGAGCCTCTTGTACCATGTTATTGTCAAGTTTGGGGGGGTATGTTGGCTCCAAAGGAAGAAGAGCTTAAGGTGTTGGTTTAGCTAGGTTCTAGTTATCAGGTATCTTTGTATCATTATTTCTTTTAATCAGTTTTCAGTTTCAAACTATATGTTATAAAAAGATAATCTTATAATCCAAGTCTAGAACTGATCACCCGGTATCACTTAGTCTAGATTCTTAACCATAACTCTCTGCTCTCGATTTTTTTGCTGCGTTGCGTTGCTAGCTCGTTTTGTTTATCCTTTGGCCCCGATCAAATAGGCATCATTTGCCTGAAGGCATCTCGAAAAGGGAAGGAAAAAGGTCCGCGACCGCATCCATCGCCTTCTCCACATTCCCATTGCTATCCTCATCCTCATCCGCATCCGTGTCCGCAGCAATGACAGCAATTTGAGAGACAGTCAGTTGATGACTGTGTTGACAGGAGCAGGGCAGAGCGGCAGAGCTTGAATCTCTGATACGAAACCGGAGGCCGGGCCATCGGGCCATCAGTATTCTCTATATATTACAGAGTGCCGTTCGGTGCTCTGGCGATATTAACCCTATTTCTGTCGTAAATTAATTACGACCCGCCACCAGATGGCGGCCAGGACATGGAAGGCGGCGAGGACACGCACAATTTTTATGAAATTTAATATTGAGAGGCCGGACCGAAAAGGCAAAGAGATGAAACGTCTTTATAGCTTTGTGGATGAAGATATAATCTTAATAGTTTGGGTCCATCATAGTGAAGATGTGTTCCTTATCTCGTGCTTAGTATCAAAGCATATTGTGTTTAATATCATATCCTTAAGAATCTACGAATATATAATAGCCGTTGACCGACTTTAAAGATTTGCGTAAATATTTTGATATAAATTCTGGCTATTAAGTTGTTTGTTTAGGTTTAATTTTATTTATAGGCAGCATTACTTGAATTAAAGGAAGTAATATATCATTAGCAACCTTCTCCTAATCACCATTTATTTTATTTTGTTTGCCAAGTCCAGTAAGTAGTTGATTTCTTACACAGACCTTGCCTTCTGCCCAGACCCCATGATTCCCGACTATATATCATCGACTCCTGCGACTTCCGGTTGTCGCTTTTGGCATTTGCCATTCCCACTGTCTATTTATAGGCGCCGCTCACGCAGACACTACCGCCCAGCCACTCCCACTTCCGCCCACACTGCAAAGAAAATTGAAAAGTAAATTATGTGTGAGAGTGTTTTTTTTTCCTATTTTACTTCTGCCCTTTTCTGAGCAGGACTATTTTAAGCATGGTCACATAAAGAGGTCCTTTCTTAAGATATTAATAAACAGGTGCGTAGGAAAAAATAGCTATACTAGTAGTAGGGCTATTTAATTTAGAAATGTTTAAAAAAACAATATTTCAAAGTATATATCCTTTTTTTTTTAATAAGTAATGCTCTTTTTATGACCGCATTTGTGGCTGGTTTTTGTGCGGAATTTATTGAATTTTTATTGGATTTCTGCGATGGGCCTCGCTGGCTGCTGTGTACACGCTAGGCGTGGCATAATTCATTATGTTGACTCACCAACACTCAGGCGTTACCCCACCCTGTCCATGCCACTGCCACTTTCACCCACCATCCGGTTACTCCCCCTTTTCATCACCAAACGCCACTAATGACGTGCCGCGTGCTTTGCATATTAATGCAGAATGGGTATGCAATGGGTATGCAGTCTAGGAGCAACTCAATCTACGATTTAAAGTGCTTTAGCCTCTGGCGGTAGTGTATTGAATTCTATTTCTCATTTCGGGACTAAAGTCCTCTTTCCAAGGACACGCGCTGTGATTAGCACATGGCCGAAATGGCTTCCGAATGGGGAATTATCACGCTGCAAAGATCAAAACCGGATTGCCAGGACACCCAAACTTCCAAAGGCCTTCCGAACCCTAGTCCCCTCGTCACTCACCTTTTTAATATCAAAGCAAAGCGAGTGCTCTTCGCCTCAATTTGGGCAGTCAAATGTGTTGTTAAGTATACATATATATAAGTTATATATATATATTTATGTGTGTTTGCATAGGAAGGACCCACCTCACAAGGCTGTCGATTATGTTCGGAGCTCAGGTTCATAAAAGACATTTAAATTTCATCTGAATTTTGAATTTATCTCGAGACAGAGACTCTGAAAATCAGGGAATATATGATTAATTTATTATTTATGATAATAGCTATGGTATTTTAAACAAACTGCTCTGGTTTTTTATGAAAATGAACTCCCAACCCTTATCTAAAATTAAATTTCCTCAAAACTGGTCTAATTGGTGGCCGGCGATCTTCCAGCTCGTTGCTTAACTAAACTAAAGCTATCTGAAAATTTCCATTTTGCATGTAGGAGTATTTACATATCTGCTCTCCGTTTCCAATGCGAAGACAAACTTTTCGGTCCGTCCAGAACTTTCGGGCCAGCGTCGAAAGTTTGGCCAAACACTGTGCCTGTGCCTGCCTGTGTCTGAGCCTGTGCCTGGGCCTGTCCCTGTGCCATGTCGCCTGGACGAAGTTGTCGAGGAAATGAGACGGGAGGAGGAAGGCCTAGAGCTCCGACATTTCTAAGCAAACGTTTAATATTCACGCTTGAGCGCATTTCCAGCGCGGGGGAGGGATGAAAATGTGTGAACTGTTTGACGCTTATCTATATGCCTTTGCCTTTGCGTTTTGACCAAATTTTATTGCCTGTTTCCAGGCCAAACGCTCCGTTTCTGCTCAAGTGAGCAGCCGTTTCGGTTGGCAGTGCCAGTGGCAGTGGCAAATCCGGTGGCAGTCCTAATGTTCCGGAGCGGCTGTTATGCAACACTAGGTTGGCTGGCATTAGCAATTAGCCACCAAGTCCCGCCCCAAAATAGTCGGAAGGATGCCCTCCTGCATGATGATTATGTCGACGGCAAAGCAAAGTTCATTACTTACTTGTCATGATATTAATCATACGCCATGTTGTCCGCACAAGCTGCGCTAATGAAGCTCCGTCCCATTTCAGTAACAGTTCTAATTTCAGGCATTTAAGGCACTTTAAATGCAATTTGGAATTACTTGCAAAACACCGCTTGTTTACATACCCGACATCATTCTCCGTCCGGAGACGGAGTCCATAGTCCCGGACGTGGCCTGCAATTGCGATTCCTCTTTACTGCCGTCGTTTTCTGTTTTCTCGGTTCGTGCCGAGCTCGTGATTTGAAGTCTAGTCTGCTGTTTGCAACTATCATTCAACTTTCATGCGAACATTTGTTCAGTCCTTCATCCCTTTCATCCCCAAAGTGTGGGTGAGGGTGTGGCCATAGCCAGCAAAAAATCACGAGTCCTTTCGAGTAGCAGTCTAAGTTTCCATTTCACTGTGGCTCAAATTCAGGAAATTGCATTACTGCCAGAAGGGTTTTCAAAATTTCAACCTTAATTAGAATAAGGTGAGAGTTTATTATTAAAACCTGCAATTTGATCAATAGTGTCAGGAAAAAAAAGTTTAGTAAATTAGCCCACTAAGTCTCTAAAATTGCCTATAAAAACTAACACCCTGCAGAGAATTAGTTATCTGACCTTAATACTACTTATTTATTTGAACCCTAAGTTTGGTTATCAATGTTTCCTTGATTTGGTCCTGTATAGCTCACTGTGCCGGAGACCAGACCAACCAGAACCATCAGCGGAAGTGCTCGTCGCCATTTTTAGTGCACTTCTTGAAAGTGCGCACATTTCCGTTTGGCATCAATGATTCGGACCCAGACTAGACCAGGCTAGTCACTCGTCCCTCTTTATTGCCGTCGAAAAAAAAAAAACAAAAAAAAAGAAAACACCCATGCCCAGTTTTAAGATTCGTTTTCTTCCTGTTTCCTGCCTTTATGGTCTATTTTCTGTGCCCTGCCCGCTGGATGTTTTGGCTTTACTTTGGCTGATTTTAATTTTGGTAAAAGTTGTCACATTTGATTTTTGGCAATTGTTCGGTTTTATGGTGCGCTAGTCTCCGCTTCACTCCGGTTTTTTATGGCGCTTTTTATGTGGTGCCATGCCTTTGCTGCTGCTGTTGCTTTGTTTGGTCCAAAGACCCACGGACCCACAGTTGGCAGTTGGCTCTAGCCTGTTGGCTTTATTGTCTTGGCCTCCCGATGCCATCCAGGGATGTGGGGTCCGGAGGAGTCAAGAATAAAATGCCTGTTGCTGGCCAAAGAATGGGATGGAAGTGGCTTTCTTAAAACAAAGAGCACAGAGATTAAGGAAGCGGAGAAAGTTCTGCCGAGTCCTGCCAAAGGAATCACAATGTCCCCGGGTGGTAAAAGGAACTAATTAGTCGGGCATCGTAATTTATATCATTGTATTGTGAGGATTTAATTTAGATTTGTGAGGGAAGCAATATATATGTATCTGATGGCTTCTAAACACAGTAAGCCAATGCTTTTTGTTAACCAGGTTTTGCAAAATTAGTTTATGAAGAGTTAGAAAGGAAGTTTTCAAACATTTTAGATTCAATTATACTTTGTAAGTTATTAGTTCATTACCCAATTTAAGAAATTAATAATAATTGTTTACAAACAAAGGACTACGGTCAGATTCAGAGTCTAAACTTTATAGCCATTGCCAAATTGTTAGAATTTATTGAATTATAATTAACGAATCAAGAGAAACCCTTGAACATTAATAGCCTATTTGGGATACCTGCAGATATAAGGCTTGTCAATTATTTATATCTTAACATACATGGATATTGGCATCGTTACTTGTACACTTAATCCCCACATATTGGCTAACAGTTTCGATAGATATCCTAAGTGCCTTGTGTGACATATCAGTATCAGTCCTAGCCCCTCTCCTGCATAATAATGGTC